CTGGGGCCCCACGTCGGCTGTCTTTGGCCAGTCACAGAGACGGGGACACCTGCATGCTGGGGCTGTCGGTGGTCATGGGCAGAGGAGGTCAGCCCTGGGCTGCTGCCCTCGGTCGTCTAGAAGGGCCCCTGGCCTCCATGCAGATGCGTGGCTGGGCCCCTGACCTGCCGAGCAGAGGCCGGGGCCTTGCGGGTACTGTGTGTGCAGGGACCATAGCGGCCCCGTGTCCGTGAGCACCGAGCCGGGCTGTGGCCCCGACCCTCCTGCTCTTCGTGTTCGCCTTGTTTTCTGCTTTGTGCTCTGGGTTTTGCTTTGACTTCTAACTTGGGCAAAGGAGCACATGCCCGTTATGATCTGCTGATGCTTGAGTGTCCAGAGAGACCTCTGGGGGCTGGCCAGGAGTGCGTCAGCAGAACGAGGGTGCAGGTCGGCCGGCGGGCCTCGTGTAGGGTCGGTAGGGCTGGGTGCTAGGTGTTGGCGAGGGTCCCATGGGTGGATGCTTCCCTCCCCCTGCACGCTTGGCTGGGGCCGCAGGGGGTCTCGTGGTTCTTGTCCTGGGTCAGCTGTGTCCAGGCCTCGGTTGCTGGATGCCTGGGGCCACCTGTCCCCCTCCAGCACCTGCTGACCTTTCTCTTCCTGCCCTGACCGCCTTTTCCCCTTCCTCCTAATACTCTAAACACTGTTTTTCCCGTGCATTTTTTATACTTTCTTGAATTATTTGTGAAAAAGAATATAGACATGAGAACAAGCATAAAACTGAATTTATAAAAATCATGTATAAATATCCCATGATTTCTAGCCATGACTTCCTGTTTATTCAGAGCTGCTTGCCAAATACCGAATCGAGTTGAGTTACATTTTAAAAATCAGTGATGGAAAGAGTCTGTGGGGGAGGGGCTGTTAATTCAAAGTACTTCCTTTTTTTTTTTTTTTTTTTTTAAGATTTATTTATTCACTTGAGAGGCAGATTAGAGACAGAGAGAGAGGTGTTCCAGCGCTGGTTCACCCCCAGATGGTTGCAACAGCCGGAGCTGGGCCCATCAAGCCAGGAGCTGCTTCCAGGTCTCCTGTGTGGATGCAGGGGCCCAGGCACTTGGGCCATCCTCCACTGCTTTCCCAGACTATCAGCAGGGAGCCAGATAGAAGTGGAGCAGCTGGGACTCGAACCAGCGCCCATATGGGATGCCGGCACTGCAGGCAGAGGCTTAGCTGAATATACCACAGCGCTGGCCCCCAATGTACTTCTGTGAGAAAAGGATTTACAAGCATCAGCTGAACCAAACTCAACCTAGTAAAGAATGGCTTTTTCAAAACAATTTATTTATTTGAAAGGCAGCGTGATGGGGGCGGGGTAGGGGGGCAAGAGATGGATCTTCCGTCTGCTGGCTCACTCCCCAAGTGCCCACAACAGCTGTGGCCGGGCCAGGCCGAAGCCAGGAGCCGGGAGCTCCACTTGGGTCTCCCATGTGGTGGCAGGGACCCAGGTGCTCAGGCCATCATCTCTCACCTTCCCGGGTGCAGCAGCAGGACGCTGGGCTGGACATGGAGCAGCTGGGACTCACACCGGCGCCGGACATGGGATGCGGGTGTTGCAGGTGGCAGCTTAACCCGCAGCAACACCTGCCCCACGTGTGATTTTTTTAAAAAAGATTTACTTATTATTTGAAAAAATTACAGAGAGGCAGAGGCAGAGAGAGAAGAAGAGAGGAGAGGCGAGGAGAGGAAGAAAAAGTCATCCATTTACTGGTTCACTCCCCAGATGGCCACAACGTCTGGAGCTGTGCAGATCCGAAGCCAGGAGCCAGGGGCCTCTCCCACGTGGGTGCAGGGGCCCAAGGACTTGGGCCATCTTGCACTGCTTTCTCAGGCCATAGCAGAGAGCTGGGTCAGAAGTGGAACAGCCAGGACTAGAAGTAACGCCCACATGGGATGCCAACACTGCAGATGGCGGCTTTACCCACTATACCACAGCACTGGTCCCACAGCTTGATTTTTCAAAAAACATTTTTGTATTATTTAAGAGGCAGAAAAAAATAAGCACACAGCTCCCATCCTCTGGGTCTTTCCCCAGATATGCACAGCAGCTGGGTCTAGGTTTGTCCCAGGAGCTGGGAACCCAACCCAGGTTTCCCCGGAGGGTACCAGGAACCCAGTGACTGGAGCCATCACCCTGCTCCAAGGGTCTGCATCAGCAGGAAGTAAAATCGGGAGCTGGGGTCCAACCCAGGCACCTGCTGTGGGACGTGGTGTCGGCTGCTGGGCCGACCGCCCATCCCCGGGCAGCCTGATACACTGGCTCGCAGTTCACCAAAGGGGCCGCGTTCAGGTCCAGCAGGCCGAGGTCGGAGGCTCTCATTGCTGGATGCTGGCAGCAGAGCCGAGCCCTCGGTCAGTGAGCCCGGGTCCTGTTGTCCAGCTCTGCAGCAGGAACGGCTGCTCTGCTCCAGGGGTCCCCAGGGCAGGGCTCCTGGGCCTGGCTGATGTGGGAGGGCCCTGGGCTCCGGCAGGACCTCGGCTGGTGCTGCTGGGCCCAGGAGCAGGTGCCTCATCCTGCAGTCTGCTTGCTGTACGGGTCTGAGGGGGAGGACGGGGCATGGTGGCCCAGCAGGAGCCTGCAGGAGGCCCAGGACCCCGGCAGGGCAGCATGTGGAAGGCTGCTATGCTGGGCGCGCGCTGTAAGACAGGCTGGTGGAAGTGGGCTCCTGGGGCCTGCAGGCTGGGGCCTGGGTGCACCTGAGGGGAGAGAGCCTGGGAGGAGCAGCAGGCGCTGTGCCTTGGCCCCCCTGGGCTCGGGAGCCAGGGCGCTGTCTCGTCCGTGGCCTGACCACCAGGAAGCCGTCTGCCTTCCTCGGCCCTGCTTCTGGGCCCCCGCAGGGCTACCCGGCCAACACTGGCTTGCTCTCTTGGTTCTGTTACTTAACCCCTTCGCTCTGCTCAGCCCTGCCCTCCTGCGCCGTCCCCTCTCTGCTGAGTGGAGGTGCCACCTCTTGTCTGGCCGGGTCAGTGCTGTGGCCGTCCTGTCCCTGGGGTGGTGCCTGGCAGGTTTTCCCTACGTGATGCTGGCGGCGGCGGATGCCGGGATCTGGCAGTGCCACGGCTCTGCTCGGAGGCTTGGTCACCGCAGGGGGAGCTGGGCCTCTATGACCGGGCCTTTGCCAGACTTCAGTGCGGCTCCATCATGGGGAGCAGGGGCGCAGAATGGGTGCCCGATGTGATTGGCGGTGGTCACTCGGCCTGCCCTGGAAGGCTCTCTGAGTCGGCTTGGGACGGCAGCCGGCCTGGGAAGTGGCTGTGCTTATAGGCAGCTGGTCGGGCGCCCAGCAGGCGTGTGTGGTGCTGGCCTTCGGCACGTCTGCCTGGAACTGCTCCAGAGCTGCGGCGGCGGCGATGGGTGGCAGGTGCCCCAGAGGCGAGGACACCTGCACCCCCTCTGCTCCACCTGACCCCAGCTTCCTGCAGGCGTGCGCCCTGGGAGGCAGCAGTGGTGGCTGTAGTAGGTGGGTCCTTGCCAGCCATGGGGAGACCTGGGTGGCATTTCCGGCTTTGGCCTGCCCCGTCCTGGCTGTTGTGGGTTTTTGGGGAACAAACCAGTGGACGGGGAGGGGCACGCGTGCATGCTCTCCCTCTCTGCTTGCTCGCTCTCCGCCTCTCTCGTAAATAAGTGGAGATTTTAAACATGTGAAATGGTCCGTGCTGTTTACAGTCGCCTGGGGGGTTCGGGGGTCCTCTGGGCAGGCTGCTCGGGGAGTGGGGTGAGTGGCAGTGGGCAGCGGGGCCAGGCAGAGGGCACGGGGACAGTGTTCCTGCCTGCACCGTGGCCATGGCCACAACCAGACCAGTGCTTGAGAAGCAACTGCCCGTTTGCCTGTGTGGGGGCTGTGGCCAGGGGCCATGGGCGTCGCTTCCTACTCGCGTGTCCTCGCCCGTGGGGAAGCAGGCTCTGCCTCTGCGTCCTCCCTCGCAGGCCCACGTGGATCCCGTCACAGGCCTCACTCTCAGGACCTCTCCCAAACCTCATCACCTCCGAGTGACCCAGCACCGTCACGGGCTGGGGGCTGCAACCTAGGGACCCGGGGTCCACATCACTGCTGTGGCTGGGGACACAGGCCCTGGGAGAGCGGGCTCAGGCGTGGCAGGTGTTCAGCCACACCCCTGCGTGCCTCTTCAAGAAGAGACAGTAGAAAACGGGTCAGAGGGGCAGGGCAGGGCAGGCTCCCCAGGTCGTCGGCAGGGGGCAGGTGTTGCAGGCGGCAGCCTACCCTGCAGAGCCGTGACTGAGTGCCCGACACAGGAGCCCTGGGGACAGACACGAGCCAGAGCACAGGCCAGGACCTGAGGCGGATTCCTGCCCGGCTCAGCTTTGTGCCGTCCCCGCCCCTCACCCAGCCCCTCAGCACCTCCTCTCTGCCCTGATGTGGCACTGACTTTGGTTGTGTCCGTTGCTAGGCAGGGACGGAGCCACCATGAAGCAGGCCGGGTCTGCTGGCTGTGCCTGGCTGCCAGGCCCAGGCATCATTGGCTCATGGCAGCACCAGGGCCGTGGCTGCCCTCCTGTGCCTGGGCCCCATCACACCCATGGGAGTGCGCACCGGGGAGCCGCGGGGCTGTGGGAATCCAGGTGTCAGGTGGCGGGTTCCCTCTGAGGCCGTGACCAGTCTGTCCCTGCGGCATCTGCTGGCTCCCAGTGGCCCTTGGTGCTCTGGTGCCTGGACCTGCCCAGCCGTCTGCCTGCCCTGCACACACACTTGCCGAGGCTACAGTCCGGCTCTGAAGTGTGCGAGTCCAGCTGAGACTCGGGGACCTCGGCTCGTGCAGCAGGGGGGCTGTGGGGACCGTGCATCTGCGGGCTGCTGCCTCCCTCCGCGGTTGCCCAGGCAGTGCGGCCGGCTGGGGGTTCGTGGCGTCCTGCCTCACCGGCACTTTGCAGATGCCCAGTGGCGGCCCGGGTGGGAGCACCGTGGCCGCCCCGCACCCTTAAACGCCTTCCTGTCTCCTTGCAGGGATCTTCGCTTCAACAGAATCCGGGAGATCCAGCCGGGGGCGTTCCGGCGGCTGAGGAACTTGAACACGCTGTAAGTGGAGATGTTCCCTGGGGAGCCCACTGCTGAGCACAGGGATCGGCCGGCCCCTGGGCGTCCACGGCCTAGGGGGGTGGGTGGGGGAGGTGTGGATCGTACACACCGGCCACCGGCCCCGGGCCCCACGTGGTGCGAGGACCAGCTTGGACCCCTGGTGGGCCTGGTGTGTGCCCACCACGCCAGCCCCCTCCAGCACTGCTGCCAGCTGGGGCAGGTGTCCCCCTGGGTGTCCCCTCACCTCTTCTGTGGCGAGGTGAGCAGAGTGGCCTTTCCCCTCAGTGCGGCTGCACCCAGAGTCGTCCTCTTGTGCCCCGGGGTCCAGACCCTCTGTGGGAACCTGCAGAACTCACTGCGCCAGGACTGAACTTCGGGAGCGAGAGCCAACCAGTGGCCTGTCAGCTGAGTCCCAGGCTGCAGGGGACGCGGCCCTCACGTCCTGCTGAAGTGCCGGGGCCCGGCTGTCCTCGCACGGCGCCTTGGGTGGAGCAGGGGCCGTGTCTGCAGGGAGGTGCGAGGGGCACGCTGACCGTGAGTGGCTGTGTGCCGCCTCGGCGCCCGTGCGGTGCCGTGCAAGCTCTGCGGCCTGGCGCGGGCTGGAGGGATGCCTTCCCTCCGCACGGCCGAGATGCTGCCCTGATTTCCACGGGGCTTCCTTCCGCAGGCTCCTCAACAACAACCAGGTGCAGAGGATCCCCGGCGGGGCCTTCGAGGACCTGGAGAACCTCAAGTACCTGTGAGTAGACTGCACTGCGCTGCAGCCGGGCCGTAGACACCGCGCCGTGGGTGGGCTTGGGGGAGCTTCCGGCCGTCCGAGGGTGTTTCCCCCAGGTGGGAAACGCTCCCCCTGTGACTCCTCGCGTCCCATCGCCACGCCTTGAGCCACGTAGGCCGAGCCTCTGAAAACGGGGGGGAGCAACAGTGCCTCTGCTGGAGACGGAAGCAGGTGGCCGGCCGCCCGCAGGGACACACAGCCCGTGAGCCAGGCGTGAGCCCTCAGGGCTCCCAGTCCTAGCAGGGCAACTGAGCCGCTGGCTCCTGCCCGCTCTCCCACCCTCCTGCAAGTGCCGCCTCGCCACCCCCTTGCTTTTATGTAGCTAAACTGTGCTCTGATTTTGAGGATCGGTGGTGGTTACCGTGTGAGGACTTAGGGCGCCCCCTGTGTGTTGAAGTTAGTCTTAGGCTTTTGAAAACGGCCTCCCACAAGCGCTGCTCTGGGGTCCGTCCTGCTCGGGTCACAGCCGGGTTCCAGGCCCGTCAGGAGCACTGGGATTCTCACCCAGAGAGCCCTCTTGGTGCAGGGTTTCTCTCCGTTACGTTTATTGGAAATCTGTGTCCTAACTGACCCTACACATCTTCATGTGGGTTTTAAAAACTAAGCCATCTTCTTGGTGTTAAGGAACCTTTGGATATGTTTTTAGATGTGTCTAAAATGTGTTTTTTATGAAGATTTATTTGAAAGGCAGAATTACATGGAGGGAGACACACACACACACACACACACGGGGGAGGGGTCCGCCATCCACTGGTTCACTCCCCAGATGGCTGCAACGGCTGGGGCTGGGCTAGGCTGAAGCCAGGAGCCAGGGGGTTCTCCCAAGTCTCGCATGAGGGTTCTTGGGGCCATCTTCCACTGCTTTCCCAGGCTATAGCAGGGCGCTGGGTCAGAAGTGGAGCAGCCGGGACTGGAACTGGCGCCCACAGTGGGTGCTGGCGCTGCAGACAGCGGCTTTATTCCAGCCAGGTGTTCTCAATTCCAGGCTGTCTTTAACTCTGTTCAGAAAATTTCCACCACGTGTGTGCTTGAAGATGTTGTGTAGACGAACTCTGCCCTCACTTCTGGCCTCGGGCTTGGAGCTCAGGTTCTGTGCCTGGGCAGCGCCGAGCCTCGTCACTGTCTTTGGAAGTGACAGACAAGTCTCCTCTTAATCCCGTGAGGGTCGTTGTTTGCTTGTCTGAGTGCTGTGCAGGATCCAGAAGGGAGCTCTCGATTCTGGGAGTGAGATGCAGCCAGCTGACAGCCGTCACTCTGTGTGTGTGTGTGTGTGTGTGTGATCCTTGTTGTCACCTCTTGGTTGCGTTGGGTTATCTGCGAGCACCCTGTGCCCCCTGCAGACGTCTCAGTGAGGTGCGTGTGGGGTGCCTGTCCCGGACTCCCCCTGGCTGGGAGAGCACCCCACTGAGTAGCCACGCGCCAGCCTTCTCCCATCCCTCACCCTGGGATGGGCACGAGGTAGAGGCGGGTGGTGAGGTGGGGCTGCACCGTGCGCGGAACCCAGGATCGCACATGGGGCAGAGCTGGCCAGCGCGTCCTGGAGGGACCATCACCCAGCTCTGTGCCATCCCTGGTATCTTCTCCATGTCCTTGGCGCTCCTGGGTGGAGCACGTCTTGATAAGTGCTGATTAGAAAATCCACGCCGAGTTCTGCCGTAATATACAGTTTCCATCACCTTTTTGAAGACCCCTCATTTGCATGGATTTATAGATTTATTTTTTGAACCAAAGTAAACGTATCTTTTAATCGCATTTCTGCAGCTTTTCAGAGGCGCCCTTACATTCAGTCAGTGCCATGTGTAGTCTCGGAAGAGCATCATGCCTCCTTCCTAGAGCCAGAGTGAGTTCTGGTGGGCCTGCGCCTTCCATTAACTGCCTGATGCTGGAGTGGATTCCCGAGGCAGGTGGACTCAAAGGTCACCCGTGTGATGCGGTACAAGGAGGCACATGATGAGTAGAAGTGGTCACTGCGGGCTCTGCTCCCAGAGCCACACTTCCGAGTCTTTGTGAACACGGTGCCCGTGTTCTTATTTTTTTTAAAGATTTTATTTATTTATTGAGAGGTAGAGTTACAGACAGTGAGAGGCAGAGACAGAGACAAAGGTCCTCCTTCCGTCAGTTCACTCCCCAAGTGGCCACAACGGCCAGAGCTGCACCGATCCGAAGCCAGGAGCCAAGTGCTTCTTCCCGGTCTCCCGTGTGGGTACAGGGACCCAAGGACTTGGGCCATTCTCTACTGCTTTCCCGGGCCACAGCAGAGAGCTGGATCGGAAGAGGAGCAGCCGGGACTAGAACTGGCGCCCATATGGGATGCCGGCGCCCCAGGCGGAGGATTAGCCTACCGCGCCACAGCGCCGCCCCCCCCCCCCCCCCACCTGGTGTTCTTTAAAAGGACGAGCTCCAGCTGGGCTCTCGCGGATGCTTTGACCTGGGCGTGGGCACCTGCACGCTGCCCGACCTCGGAAATGACCCAAGCCGCAGCGGGAAGTGCTGGGCTTTTCCTAAAAGCTTGCGTCTGTCCATTTCCCCTCGGTGCTTCTGTCCACTGTGCAGAGGAGAAACAGGTGCAGGAGGTTGATGTCTTACCCAAGATCTGGCTGCCAAGGACTCTAGCCTGTACAACCCAGCGAGGTAACTCCCTGGCCAGACCAGCTGCGGGTGCCGGCAGCCGGTCCCTACGGGACTCTGGCGGGGTGCTGAGGCTTCTGATGATGGCTGAGGTCCTCTGGGCACAGCTGCACCACGGGAGAAGTGAGAACTGCTTCAGTGCCTCGTGGCACTGGACGTGGCCGATGCGCACCAGACATTGTTTTACTTGCTTTACGTTTGTTTATTGCATAGGCAGGGGGAGACCTACAGACAGATCTCTCAGTTGCTGCTTCACTCCCCAGATGCCCACAAAAGCTAGGACTGACCGGGCTATAGCCAGGAACTCTATCCAGGTCTCCCACGTGGGTGGCAGGGACCCAAGACTTCTTCCACCATGGCTGCCTCCCAGCCTGTGTGTTGGAGCTGGAGCCAGGATTTGAACCCAGGCACTCTGGTGTGGATATGAGTGTCCAGGCCACCAGGCTCCATGCCTGCTCTCAGTTATGAGTTAAAATGCAGTCAAACACCTTGCCCGCTGGAGTGAAAGTTCTGGCACCGCGAGCGAGCATTGCACAAAAGGGATTTGTGTGGCAGCACGGGTAGGTGGAACCCTGACACCACGTCATCCATTCGAGGCCTCCTGCCCCAACCAGGAGCCAGGAGTGTGGAGCGAGACTGTGCGTCTGCCCACCTCAGAAGTTGGTGGTCTGTCAGAAGTAACGCGGCCGACGGTCTGCCATGAGCACACAGCCTGCTCTGCCCTGCGTGCTCCTGGGAACCTGTGCCCAGCACCTCTAAGCCTGGAGCCCTCTGCGCCCTGCACGCCCCTGGGGCTCCGCGCTCCGCACTAGTGGCCATTGAGCACGGCCCTGTGGCTCCTTTTGGGATCGCACCTCTGTGTGAGAGCTGTGGTCCTGGGTGTGTGTGTGGGGGGGTTGCGTTGGGCTCAGCAGGCTCCTTAGTGGGGGACCAGACCGTGCATCTGGGGGGCTGCTCAACTGCCACGGAGCTCATGTGTGGCCAAAGACAGTGTGGAAAAACATGAACTTGAGCTGTGATGTTCATGTGACTCCTCTTTTAACGATTGTATTCATTTAAAAACGTAGAAGCTGCCTTCAGTTGGCCGGCTGTGCAGTGACAGCCCCTCTTGCTATTTCCTGGGAGAATGGGATTCCAGGTGGAGAGAGGCTCAGGAGCCAATCGGGCTGCTCAGGGCTGCTCTGAGCTCCGTCGGCTGTTTGGGAGCTGTGTCTGTGACCGCGGGTTGCGCTCAGGGTATTCCTCTTATTTGTGCAGGAAGAGTTTTTATTTTCTGCAGGCTTGGGGCAGAGATGTCATGCAAAGCCGCAGTCTAGAAACCGGGGAATCGGTTGACACACAGAGCAATGGTGTGACCCACCCCCCGCCCCCGGCCTGGGTGTGGACTTGAACTTGAGGTTGGAGGGCAGGGAGTCCCCGAGAGCGCCTGCAGCCACTGCAGATGCTGTTTGCTCATCTAAAACCGTCTCCGTGTGTCGACGTCACCCTTCTCCGTCTGGAGTTTGCCTGTCTGTGTGCTAATTCGCCCGTGTTTCTTGTTTCAGCTATTTGTACAAGAATGAGATCCAGGCAATTGACAGGCAAGCGTTTAAGGGACTTTCCTCTCTAGAGCAACTGTAAGTGCCCTTCCCTCCCGTGCCCGTTGCTGTGGTGGACTCGTGTGCTGCTTGCATGATGCACGTCTGTACTGCTGGGCTGTAGGGGGCATGTGCATGACCACGCCGCGGCCGCAGCGCCCCGCCCCCGACCGTGCTCCGTGGCACCGAGAGCAGTGAGGTCGGCGGGCTCTGCGCCTCCCAGGGTGCAGGTAGCACCATGGCCTGGGCCCCTTGCACGGTTTCGTCTCTTCAGCCACGATGGCACGGATGTGGAGAGAACACACTTCCCTCCGTGCAGTTCCAGTTAGCGGTTGTTGCGTGTGACTGAGCCCCCGTACTTGGGTGGCTTGTGAAGTCAGCTGGTCTCGCGGTGCAGTCTGGGGGTTGGGAGGTCTCTGTTCCCAGGCAGTCGCCCTGCACTCGGGACGCTGGACCCCCCTCCTGTGGGGTCAGCGGACAGGGATGGAAGCAGCTGCAGGGGACCTCGGTGTGACCCTGCCACTGCGGCCATGTGCGTTGCCGTGTCCTGCGCAGACTGGGAGTTCCAGCCATGTGCCTGTGCTGGCTCGGGGCTCCTGGCTCCAGAGGAGAGCCGGGCTTCCCCTGCTGACTGCCCAGGCGCGAGGCTGTGGGGAGAAGCCGTCGAGGGAAGGGGAGGGTAGGAGCCGGGTGCAGCGGCAGGTGACAGAGGGTGAGTCTGTGCCTGACACACACGTGATGCTGTGGTCAGAGCCGGCAGCTCCGGGCTCTAGCTTGAGGGGGTCAGGCGGGGTTATCTGCAAGGACGAGGGGCTGGGGTCTGGGGAGAGAAGTGCCGGAAACTGGCAGAAACAGGAGCGGGATGTGGGGTTCCGGGGGGGCCGCTGCCTTGTGCTGGCACAGGAGCCTGGTCGCCTGCTGAGCCCTGGCTTCACGATGCACGGAACGACTTGTCCCCCCAGGCAGGGCGCTCTCTGGGAGACTGGCAGCGTCACCTGGAGCGCAAGCCAGGTGTCCCCATGGAGGGACGCTCCACTGGATCTGCCGGCCCTGTTCTTGTGCAGCCACTCCGGCCAGCGTGGGAAGTCTCGTGGGTGTGTCCTGGGTGCCGCCCAGGGGCTGCCGAGTGTCTCTGAGAGGGGGCGTGCATTCACTATGACCTCACTTACTGGGACACCGCCAGCTCTCTCTGGGAGGAGACACCCGGGGTGCCTGGAGTCCTGCACGGCTGGGTCAGGGGCAGGGATCAAGACCAACCCCTGTGCGTTGGGCCTTGCACACCCCAGGTGTCCTGCCAGGACAGGGCCTGGGTCACCCTCCCCATGAAGCCCGGGACGCATCCCCTGGCTGGCTGGACAGGAACGGGCTTGGCCTACCAGCTTGGCTGTGTCTCGGTTCTGAGCCCCACGCTGCCCGGTACAGAGTGGGGGCCTGTGATGGGGACTGGACATCTCAGCCTGCCTCCATCTGCCTTAGGAGCCAGTGTCACATGCTCCCCTGGGACCACCACTGAGGGCAGGTGGCACAGCCCTGCCCGTGGTGAGCAGGGCCCTGACACAGGTCCCCGGGGAAGGGGCCTCACGGGCTCGGGGCTCCCCTCCCCCCGCCATGCTGGTTCTGCCCAGGGAGTGGACATGTGGTGACCGTGTTGGGTTTGTGAGTTTCACCTGAAAGCACTGAGCTTTGCTGCTGTTCCTCGTGTGGCCCGCGGCACCTTGGTGAGAACCACACTCTGTGTGCAGCCGAGCCCCTCCCTGCTCCCTGGGCCAGGGGCTGCCCCACGGGGCCCTGGGCTGAGGCCGCCTCGTGCTGCCCAGGGAAACCTGAGTGTGCAGGACGAGAGGACGTTGCTTGTTCCCAGTTTGTGTGTGGGACAGGAGGCAGCGGCTCAGACGAGGCGGTGTGGCCCTGGCTCCCGTGTTGGGGATGTTGGGGGCGCACACTGTCCTCCCCAGCGTGTCCCCTGTCCCCGTCCCTGTGCTGGCCCTGCTGGGTCCTGCGGGGGCTGGGGTTTCTGTACAGATGCTGCTGATAGGATGTGGCTGTGTGTGGTTTGGTCAGATTTGGGGGTGATACGGGGTGGGCTCCCACTGTGCCCACCCAGGCCACGTGGGTAGAATGTGTGGCTGGGACTCCCGCTGTGCCCACCCAGGCCACGTGGACAGAACGTGTGGCTGGGACTCCCGCTGTGCCCACCCAGGCCACGTGGACAGAACGTGTGGCTGGGACTCCTGCTGTGCCCACCCAGGCCACGCGACAGAATGCGTGGCTGGCCCCTGTCCCGAGTCTCCCAGTTTCAGCTTTCTCTTGTGTGCCATGCGCTGTGGACACGTAGGGATTCCTCGGTGACACATGCACTTGAAATGGTCTGGACCCCAAGAGGCGGGTCTGCGGCAGCAGGTTGTTGCAGTCCTGTGCGTTCTGCTTCCAACCCGACAGATACCTGCACTTCAACCAGATAGAGACGCTGGACCTGGAGGCCTTCCAGCACCTGCCGAAGCTCGAGAGGCTGTAAGTGGGCCCCGGGGTTGTGCGGCCGGGCCCAGCTGAGGCGAGGCCAAGTCCCGCTCTGAGCAGGGTGGACAGCCCGGGGGCGGGACTGAGGGTTCCACACAGGAAGCGGTGGCCTTGTGGCCCCGCGGGGTGGCGCTCCCGGCCGTCTGCGCCGAGCGGGTGGCACTGCTGAGTTCCAGAGCTGATTGGTCTGCGCTGCTGCTCTTCCCTCGCTTCTGAGACCCGCTCTGCCCGTGGCCTCTGCCAACAGGTTCCTGCACAACAACCGGATCACACACCTGGTTCCCGGGACCTTCAGCGGCCTGGTGTCCATGAAGAGACTGTGAGTGTGGCTCTGCGGAGCCGGGCCCTCGCTGACCCTGGGAGGTGCTTCCTGCAGCCACTCCGGGCCTCCAGGCACACGCGGAGGAAGGGGACGGGCGCCGGGGCCGCATGGGAAACAGATGGCCAGGAGGGTGGCCGGGCTGTCCTTCCAGCATGAGTGGGCGCCTCAGGTGTCCGTAGATTCTCTGAGCCGATTTCCAGTTGCGTGGGAAGCACCTGTGTGCTGTGTTCTGTCCCGTGTGGGCCACACGTGGTCAGACAGGCCTGCCGTTTCTTGTCACGCGATAAGGCTGCAGGCCTGAGGGGGGTGCTGGCCTCTCTGGCCACGCCCCTGTCCCCGGGTGTCTGCAGCCCGGTGCTCTCAGCCACGTGGCTGTGTGTCCCCTGAGGAGCAGGCCCCAGACCCAAGTGGCCGCTGGTTAGTTTTGCTCCTCAGTGAGGCTCCGTGAGGGCCGAAGCTTTTCTTTAGGGTACAGAAATCTGTCACCACCTCTATTGGATAGGTAGGGGCGAGGCAGGCTGTGGAAATGCCAGTGAAGGCTTCAGAAATGCCCAGACGGCTCGGGGCCGAAGGGTGGGTTACCCTGGCAACCATGCTGGCCCGCCTGGCCTCCCGGACAGCACAGGCGTCCTTGTGGGGGAAGCTGGGCCCTTGATGAGCCCGGTCTCCCTTCCCCTGCCTGGAAGCCGGGGGGAGGTCCATGAGGGTTTTGCCAACGCACCCACAGGGCTCCTCCTGCCCTGGCCGCTGTGTCCACAGCTATTGCTAGCCTGGCCTTCCTGGGACCCCAGCCCCAGGCAGCCCCACTCTGGCCTCAGAGCAGAGGGCAGCCGTGCCTCTCCTGCTGATGGTTTGCTGGGTGTGGAAGGACAGCCAGGGCCACCCCTTCTTGTGGGCACCCAGTCCCCCCACTGCCCACGGTCCTGTTACCCTGGTGGGTGCCTTGGCAGGTGGCCGTCCCCTCACAGGTGCAGTACTGCCCCCGGGGAATGGCCACTCTGGCTGGGGGCCTGTTCTATGCCCAGCCCTTCCGAGTTGGTGTCCTGGGGCCAGCACCCGGCTGTGACAGTGCCAGCCCGGGGCCACAGCAGCTCCGTGGCCCTGGCTGAGCCGCTCCCCGGATGTCAGCCCTGCATATCGGCAGAGCACTGTGCCGACCGGTCAGAGGGCGAGTGTCCCTGTCTGGAACTCGTACTCCGCCCGTCTGCTTGGCGCACAAACCGTTGTTCCCCTGGGGAAGGTTCTGCTGCCGCCTGTGGGAGGGGACCTGGGGCTTCCTGGACACTGACCTGCAGCTCCACGGCCATGGTCAGGTCCATGTAGGGGGTGTGGGGACTGAGCGAGAGAACACAGGAGTCAGACAGGATCCCAAGTCCATGGCGCGTGGGCTGGCTTCATGCTGTTGTCTGCAGGCCTACGGCCCTCAACCCCTCGTCTCGTGCCACTTGGGTCCTTTCTGTCCCTGTGCGTGTCCCTGCCTCATTCCCCCTCAGGCAGGGCAGGTCTCCTGGCACAGGAAACACGCCCCTCCTGGTGCGGGACGCCCAGCTGTCCCCACAGCGAGCCTGTGGATTCGGGGCCCATGGGGGAGGGGCAGTGCCTCGTGCGACCCCGTGTCTGACCGGCCGTCGCTTTCCCACAGCCGACTGGACTCCAACGCGCTGCACTGTGACTGTGGGATCCTGTGGCTGGCAGACCTGCTGCGCACCTATGCCCAGTCGGGCAACGCGCAGGCGGCCGCCACCTGCGAGTTCCCCAGACGCATCCAAGGGCGCTCGGTGGCCACCATCACCCCGGAGGAGCTGAACTGTGGTGAGTGGGCCCTGAAGGGAGGGGCCTTCCTCTCTGGGCCTGGCTCCGCCATTTGTCTGTGAGGTGCTGTTCAGGGCCCAGCCCTGTGGTGCAGTGGGGTAGCCAGTTCCACTCCTGGCTGCTGCTCTTCTGACCCAGCTCCTTGCTAATGGCCTGGGAAAGCAGCGGAAGATGACCCAAGCGCTTGGGCCCCTGCTACCCACATGGGAGACCTGGAGGAAGCTCCTGGCTTCGGCCTGGCCCAGCCCTGGCTGTTGTGGACATTTGGGGAGTGACAGTGGGTAGAAGTGCTCTCTCTCTCTCTCTCTCTGACTTTAAAATAGGTAAGTGCTTTAAAAACAAAAACAAAAACAAAAAGCTGTTCCGCACCTGGTGAGAAACGTGGGTTTTTCTTGTCTCTTTGCAAGCATGAGCGCAGTGAGCTGCCCTTGCTCCCGTCCGGAGGCCTGTGCCCAGGGTGGCAGCTGCAGGCCGGGGAGCTCACCTGCGGGGTTGAGGCCGGAGTGGCGTGCTCTGCTTTCTGCACAGGTGCCCCCAAGGGTGCGCAGTTGGCAGTGGCCACCTCCATGGGTGTGTGCATTTTGCTGCATGGATGCAGTCCCTCAGTGTAAAAAGTACCCCAAGAAGACCAAATCACATTGAGTGGCAGGACAGAATATGCCTTATAAATTATTCTGCTTTCTCTCATCTTTTGTTTATTTATTTTGAAGATGCTTCCATATTTGAAAGGCAGAGTGTCAGAGATCTTCCATCTGTGGGTTCACTCTTCAAGTGTTCACAATGTCCAGGCCTGGGCCAGGCCAAAGACAGGAGCCCGGAGCTCCGTCCTGGTCTCCCACGTGGGTGCAGGGCCAGGCGAGCGTGGTGACCAGACAGGAGCTGGGGGCCTGGAGGGAAGTTGCAGGCCCACCCTCGTGCCCACCCAGAGCTGCCAAGGTTCAAGTGCAGGCCTGGGGAGTCATGGGCATTGCTGCTCCCAGGCCTGGGCGAGGGCAACACAGCCCTCCTTGGCAGGTGGGTGGGGGATGGGAGCTGCCCCTGAGGGTGTCGGCGTCCCTGTGTCTTCAGCGCTCTGGGGCATCCTCCTGTGAGAGGCGGGTTCTTCAGGGTCCCTGCATTCGCTTCCTTGAGGGGTGTTGAGGAGAGGCTGTGTGGGCGAGGGTGGGCTCCCCACATCTGCCGCCTGTGGGCCTCTGGGCCTTGTGCGGAATGTCTGATCTCTCCCGGCGGGGCTGGTCTGGGCTCCCGTGGTCTACACCACCCCACCGTCTCGCACTCACGGGTCTCCTCTGTTGGCGCAGAGCGGCCGCGGATCACGTCAGAGCCCCAGGACGCCGACGTGACCTCGGGCAACACCGTGTACTTCACCTGCCGAGCCGAGGGCAACCCCAAGCCCGAGATCATCTGGCTCCGAAACAAGTGAGTTGGGTCCGGCAGCAGCAGCCCCATGTCACCAAGTCCCCCCGACACCCTGCGGGCTCGACTACCCCCCGGAGAGCCTGCGTCACCCTCCCTGCCTCTCCCAGGTGCAAAGGGCAAGATCACCTGTGCCCCCCGCCTGCCACGCAGCAGCTGAGCAGGGGCGCTGGGCCGTCAGGGCCCCTGAGGGCCGCTGCTGCTGGGGAGGGAGCGGGGGCTATGTCCACACCGCTGCCCTCTGGCAGTGTCCACTCTGCTCTGGCCGGGAGGCTGCAGCGTCTGATCACTGAGGCCGCCCGCGTGCGGGGCCTGCTCTCCTCCGCATCCCAGGAGGGCGGCCGTCCAGAGCTGCAGGTCAGGGCCATGTGGGTGTGTCTTCTGCTTGTAATGACGTGCAGGTGCCTTTCTGCCTTTTTGTCGTTCACCAGAAACAAAGGAAAATCTTTCCTTTAATGTTTCACATTTATTCTTTTTCATTTGTTGAGTCAGTGACAGAAATAGCAATAAGGAGGGAAGGAGGAGCGAGACAGACAGACAGACAGACCCCATCTGCTGATGCACCCTCCAGACACCACACAGCCGGGACGGGCCGGCCCACAGGCGGAGGCAGGAGCCCCATCCGGGTCTCCCGCGTGGGAGGCGGGGCCCCCAGTGCTTGAGCCAAGTCGCCTGCCTCCCAGGTGCGTTAGCAGGGAGCCGGTTCAGAAGGCGGAGGCAGGCCGAGGTCCCCGGCAGCCCCAGCAGCTGCTTACCCTGCTGCACCCCAGCCCTGCCCTGAAGTTTTTTGATTTATTTTTTATTTTCTTCCCTTTGGAAGTCAGTAGCTCTTGAGAACTGAGATTGAGCATGTGAAAAATGAATGTAAATGGGAGAGTCACGTAGGGGTTCAGACTCACGGGGGCCTTCTCCGGAGTCGCCGCGTGGGTCGGGCGGCCGACAAGGGAGGTGCTTCTGGGAGGCAGGTGCCCTGCTGTCTCCGGGTGCCACAGGCCCCCACCACGCTGGGGACAACGTGGCATTCCCTCGTGCCTCTAACCTTGTGTCTCCGTAGTAACGAGCTGAGCATGAAGACAGATTCCCGCTTAAACCTGTTGGACGACGGCACCCTGATGATCCAGAACACCCAGGAGACAGACCAGGGCGTCTACCAGTGCATGGCCAAGAACGTGGCCGGGGAGGTGAAGACGCAGGAGGTGACCCTCAGGTACTTTGGGTCTCCAGGTACGTGGAGGGCGTCTGGGGCACCCCTCACCGTCCGCTTCCTCCTCCCCTTGCACCCAGCTGGCTGGACCGGGGCCTGCACCGCAGCCCCAGGCGCTCCTGTCCCAGGCTCTGCCGAGGAGGCCGCACTAGGCCCAGGTGCTGTCGGGGCCTTGCTCACCCTGCGTGGACACCTCAGGCAGGGATGGCCCAGAGACCAGGACCGCGCGGCCTCTCTTTTGCCTTTGGTTCTCTAAAAGAAGGTGGAAGCCTGGTGCTGCATGGAACAGCCCTATCCAGAATACTGACGCCTCCTTACAAATTTCAGCGCAAAGCCAGAGCCAAGGGCACACAGCATACTCTCCAGCCCAGGGTCACGAGCTCCTTCCTCCTCAGTGTGTTAACCCAGGGTCTGGCCAGGGCAGGAACCAGGGTCTGGGAGAAGTCCCGGGAGTCTCACTCCAGGGAGAGCAGCCTTGACCCCGAGACCCCCCGGGTCCCTGTGACCTGGGGTCCCCTCCTTCCCCCAGGTCCCCATGCCCTCCTGGGGTCCCCTCCTCCCCCCAGGTCCACATGCCCTCCTGGGGTCCCCTCCTTCCCCCAGGTCCCTGTGCCCTGGGGCCCCCCTCCTTCCCCCAGGTCCCTGTGCCCTGGGGTCCCCCTCCTTCCCCCCAGGTCCCCATGACCTGGGGTCCCTCTCCTTCCCCCAGGTCCCCATGCCCTCCTGGGGTCCCCCTCCTTCCCCCAGGTCCCTGTACCCTGGGGCTCCTTCCTTCCTCCAGGTCCCCATGACCTGGGGTCCCTCTCCTTCCTCCAGCTCCCCATGACCTGGGGTTCCCCCTTCCTCTAGGTCCCTGTGCCCTGGGGTCCCCTCCTTCCCCCAGATCTTCGTGCCCTGGGGTCTTCCTCCTTACCCCCAGGTCCCTGTGCCCTGGGGCCCCCCTCCCTCCTCCAGGTCCCAGTGCCCTGGTGTCCCCTTCTTCCCCCAGGTCCCCATGACCTGGGACGCCCCCTTCCTCCAGGTCCTGTGCCCTGGTGTCCCCTCCTTCCCACAGGTCCCCGTGACGTGGGGCCCCCTCCTCCCAGCCCCTGTGGGGTTTGCAGACTCCACGTGCTCCCCAGGCCAGTCTGCAGCCTCCTCTGTGTCTGGCCTCACAGGTCCCTCCAGGGTCAGTGTTGCCCTGGCATTTGATGTCAGGCCGTCGTAAACGCCACCCGACAGCTTGTGGGTGGTTTTGCGTGACTTCTCTGGGTTCTCTGCACCCTGTAAACTGGGCTGGTGCGTGCATACCTGCTGCCTCCCTGCGTGGACACAGTGTGTCTGCAATGGACGAGAAGTCCTAGCTGCCGACGCTCAGCTCAGAGAAAACCCTAGGGAGCAAATGCTGTGGCCAGGGCACAGGCCTTGAACACCATCCCTTTAGCCCGAGGCGCTGAGCCCGAGCCCCCGGGGACCACACCGAGGCGCTTGAGAGGTGCTCCGGACGGGGTGTGTGGGGAGCAGGCGTGAGGTGGTCGGCAGGGATGCTGGAGCTGCAGAGTCGCTGTGTTTGCAGGTGCAGCGACTCCTGGACAGGAGCGGCCCGCCCTCCGTGGCCTGAGCGTCCTGCGCGTACTTCCACTGTCAATTCCTGCTCCTTTCTCAGGAGTGACAGCCTGAGCTCCTGTGGGGGGTGTGCTGCTGCAGCCCTGGGACACACAGGACACGCGTGCCACCTTGTGCCCCGGGACTGTGGGGGCGGCAGGCGGCCCAGATGCCACCCTGCGGGGTGACCCCTCCCCGACCCCCGACAGGCTGCCCTGGCCCCGCCGCATGTTCTGTCTCTGTGTTAGCCGCGGGTTTTACAGTTTTAGTGGCAGTCTTAGAAGAATAGCATCTGATGACACGTGATGATCAAGTCTCAGTGTCCGAGTTTTCTCTTTTTTTTTTTTTTCTTTTTTGACAGGCAGAGTGGACAGTGAGAGAGAGAGACAGAGAGAAAGGTCTTCCTTTGCAGTTGGTTCACGCTCCAATGGCCGCCGCGGCCGGCGCGCTGCGGCCAGCGCACTGCGCTGATCTGATGGCAGGAGCCAGGTGCTCCTCCTGGTCTCCCATGGGGTGCAGGGCCCAAGCACTTGGGCCATCCTCCACTGCACTCCCTGGCCACAGCAGAGAGCTGGCCTGGAAGAGGGGCAACCGGGACAGAATCTGGCGCCCCAACCGGGACTAGAACCCAGTGTGCCGGCGCCGCAAGGCGGAGGATTAGCCTGGTGAGCCGCGGCACCGGCCAGTGTCCGAGTTTTCATGGGAACGTGGCCGCACGCAGCACTCGCACGCTGTCTCCGCGCTCGTTCAGCACCACACAGAGCTCAGGAGCAGCGTTGAGGACTGTGTGGCCGAAGCCCCCGGCGGCGGTGCAGGTCCTGTGCAGAGCGCGCTGCCCTGCGGTGGTGACAGCAGGGGCCTGTGGGCCTCCACAGGCTCCACATCCCGGAAGTGGTGCTGTCGGGCTGGAGCGCTGTTCTCTATCAGGGCGGATACACCATGACCCCTGACAGGTTCCAAGAGGGTGACTGTCTGTATTCTGCCACCTCCACACCAGCTATGGAAGTGAACTGTTTCCTTGTCACAGACACTTGATTACCACAACATTAACACAGACAAAAACTTAGGAACTCCCCCTCTTGTTTCTCTCACCCACCTAATGCCCAGCCCAGTGCACTACCCAGAGTGCTCTTGGAAGTTTATTCTCCATCTTTCTACAAAAGCGAGCACGTGTAAGGCTTATCTCAGAGAGCTTCCCGCTCCGTCATGTCCACACGTGACGAGCTGCGTGACTTTTCCTTTGCGCAGCCGCGTAGAATTCCGTGCCTCGGTGCACCGTGATTTACCAAGCCGGCGTGGGGAGTGCGTGTGCATTTTTCCAGATCTCTTGTCATCACCGGTCCCTATCCTTTATCCATAGCACTTTGGGCCCTGCACTGGCAGATGCAGAGGCATGGCAGTTTGTTTAGGATGACGGAGCATAGTTCAGAACCAGCTGCTGCTGCTGACGGAGCCACTGCACAGCACGCGGTGTGACAGTCTCCACAGATGGGGCAGACCAAGGCCAGCGGCTCCTTCATGGGAGAGGGACCAGGTTCTGCAAGCAATTAAGTTACAAAATAATGCCGACTTTTAGAGCTTTCTTGGTTCTAGGATTTGCGTATATGTCATGTTATATAAACATGTCAGTAGGTTACAGTCCTACCAGGATCGTTCTTGGGTAAGAGGTGCCCAGACCTTGGGTTTTGATCCAAGTGGTTGTGTGTCTGAAGGTGTCCCATGTCAGTGTGTGCCTCCACAGTGTGTCTACGTGTTCCGTGTCAGCATGCACAGTGAGTCCACGTGTTCTGCGTCACTGTGTAGAGAGTTCATGTGTTCCCTGTCAATGTGTAGTGAGAGTCCACGTGATCTGTGTCAGTGTGTAGCTAGAGTTCACATGTTCCATGTCAGTGTGTAATGAGAGTCCATGTGTTCCTTGTCAGCGTGTACAGTGAGAGTCCACGTGGTCCATGTCACTGTGTAGTGAGAATCCATATGGTCCGTGTCAGCATGTAGTGAGAGTCCACGTGATCTGTGTCAGTGTGTAGGTAGAGTTCACATGTTCCATGTCAGTGTGTAATGAGAGGCCATGTGTTCCTTGTCAGTGTGTACAGTGAGAGTCCATGTGGTCCATGTCACTGTGTAGTGAGAATCCATATGGTCCGTGTCAGCATGTAGTGAGAGTCCATGTGGTCTGTGTCAGTGTGTAATGAGAGTTCACGTGTTCCCTGTCAGTGTGTAGTGAGAGTCCATGTGGTCCATGTCACTGTGTAGTAAGAGTTCACATGTTCCATGTCTGCGTAGTGAGAGTGCATGTGTTCCATGTCAGTGTGTACAGAGAGAGTCCATGTGGTCCATGTCAGCATGTAGTGAGAGTCCACATGTTCTATGTCAGTGTGTAGCTTGAGTTCACATGTTCCATGTCAGTGTGTAGTGAGAGTCCACGTGTTCTGTGTCAGTGTATACAAGTGAGAGTCCACGTGGTCCTTGTCAGTGTGTAGTGAGAGTCCACGTCTTCCATGTTGGTGTTTAGTGAGAATCCACGTGGTCCGTGCCAGCGTGTAGTGAGGGTCCACATGTTCTGTGTCAGTGTGTAGCTAGAGTTCACATGTTCCATGTCAGCATGTACAGTGTGTAATGAGAGTCCATGTGTTCCTTGTCAGCGTGTACAGTGAGAGTCCACGTGGTCCATGTTACTGTGTAGTGAGTATTCATGTGGTCCATGTCAGTGTGCAATGAGAACTACATGTTCCGTGTCAGTGTATAGTGAGAACCACGTGTTCCGTGTCCGTGTGTAGTGAGAACCACGTGTTCCGTGTCCTTGTATAGTGAGAGTCCATGTGTTCCATGTCAGTGTGTAGTGAGTCCACGTGTTCCATGTCAGTGTGTAGTAAGAGTCCACGTGTTCCATGTCGGTGTGCAGTGAGAGTCCACATGTTCCGTGTCAGTGTGCAGTGAGAACCACATGGTCCGTGTCGGTGTGTAGTGAGAGTTCCCGTGTTCCATGTCAGTGTATAGTGAGAACCACGTGGTCCGTGTCAGTGTGTAGTGAGAACCACGTGTCCCATGTCAGTGTGTAGTGAGAACCACGTGTTCCGTGTCAGCATGCAGTGAGAGTCCACGTGGTCTGTGTCAGCATGCACAGTGAGTCCACGTGTTCTGTGTCACTGTGTAGTGAGTTCATGTGTTCCCTGTCAATGTGTAGTGAGAGTCCACGTGATCTGTGTCAGTGTGTAGCTAGAGTTCACATGTTCCATGTCAGTGTGTAATGAGAGTCCATGTGTTCCTTGTCAGCGTGTACAGTGAGAGTCCACGTGGTCCATGTCACTGTGTAGTGAGAGTTCACGTGGTCCATGTCAGTGTGCAGTGAGAACTACATATTCCTTGTCAGTGTATAGTGAGAACCACGTGTTCCGTGTCTGTGTGTAGTGAGAACTACGTGTTCCATGTCAGTGTGTACGGTGAGAACCACGTGTTCCGTGTCCATGTGTAGTGAGAACCACGTGTTCTGTGTCTGTGTATAGTGAGAGTCCATGTGTTCTGTGTCACTGTGTAGTGAGAGTCCACGTGTTCCGTGTCGGTGTGTAGTGAGAGTTCCCGTGTTCCATGTCAGTGTATAGTGAGAACCACGTGGTCCATGTCAGTGTGTAGTGAGAGTTCCCGTGTTCCGTGTCAGTATGCAGTGAGAGTTCCCGTGTTCTGTGTTGGTGTGCAGTGAGAACCACGTGTCCCGTGTCAGTGTGCAGTGAGGACCACGTGTCCCATGTCAGTGTGTGCTCTCTGTAGTTGTCTCCACCCCTCCTCTATGTGACTGTCTCCACAGAAACCCTCCCCTGAAGTGCATTAGTAAGTGGGTTTTTTCTGGATTGTGTTGAAGAATATTATCTCAGTGTAGTCGACTGGCCTTGGGCCACAGACCTTTTCACTGTCCATACATTTTATTAGAAATAAGGAAAGTGTGTGATTCGTTTTTTCCATTTATTTTGGAGGAAAACAGAATGAGTAGCCTGACCATAGGAAAAAAAAAATCGAGCAAAAATTTAAGGTGGAAGAAATTAATTGAGGATTTCTGTCTGTGACAGCTCGACCCACTTTTGTAATCCAGCCACAGAACACGGAGGTGCTGGTGGGCGAGAGCGTCACCCTGGAGTGCAGCGCCACGGGCCACCCTCCGCCCAGGATCACCTGGACCCGCGGGGACCACACGCCCCTGCCCGCCGACCCGCGGGTGAACATCACGCCCTCCGGTGGGCTCTACATACAGAACGTGGTGCAGGCGGACAGCGGGGAGTACGCCTGCTTTGCGTCCAGCGGAGCTGAGAGCATCCAGGCCACCGCCTTCATCATCGTCCAGGGTAGGTCCGCGAGCAGCGGGGGCCTGGGGCACCGCACCCGGGGGCCCCTCGAGCTCCACCCGCCTCAGTTTCCTGCTTCCTCGCCGTGCTTTTACCCACGACCCTCAGCACTGCGCGGCCGAGTTCCGACGATGTGGCCATCGGCTCGTGTCCTGCACAGAAGGGCGTTGTGGCTGGCTGCCGTGTCGAGCGTGTGCAGACACACACAGGGCCGGCCCGACACCCGCAGATCTGGGGTGCTGCTTCCTGAAGCCCCCGTTTTTGCACACGGGGTCCTGCGAGTGCCTTTGGTGTTGAGGCTTTTGCCGGTTATCTTCAGATTGCCATAGAACGGCATGGCTGCTTTCTACCACGCCTCCCCCGCCCTCCCTGCCCGCCCCCGTGCCCTGTCTGCTCCTTGGGCGTCTGGCTCCCAAGCTGTCTCCGCATACCCACATTGGTGGTTTTGATTTGGGGGTGTGGCTTTTGTGCAAATGGCCTCATCCTGGAAGTCAAGTCCTGTAACTAACTCCCCCTCCACCCGTCACCACCGTGCTCCCCTGCGCAGCTGCGCCAGCTGACGTTTCTGTCCGCGTGCAGACGCTGATTGGGGTTGAGAGATGAGATCAGCCTCCCGTGGGGTGGGAGGGCTGGGGGCTGTGCACTCACAAACGTCAGCCGTGTCTTCCACCCTGGGGCTGGCAGGGCTGGAGACAGCCCTGCCACGTGTGCCCCCATCTGCTGCGCCGCAGGGGCGCTCCCTTTGAAAACCCCTCAGTGTCTGCCCACCCTCCCCTGCTGGCAGGTACAGCACCGGGCAGTGGAGGGTCCAGGACTAGGCGCTTTGCCTTTCAAATAAATAATTTAAAAAGAGAGTTAGAGAGATCTGAATCTCCCACCCGCTGGTTCACTCCCCAGATGGCCACCGTAACAGGGACGGGGCCAGGCCAAAGCCAGGCGTCAGGAGCTTCACGTGCATACCCCATGCGGGTAGCAGGGGCCCAAGCACTCGGGCCATCATTTGTTGCTTCTCAGGGGCAGTAGCAGGGAGCTGGCTGGAAATGGAGCGCCTGGGACTCAAACCAGCAACCGCATGGGGTCCTGGCGCTGCAGGCAGCAGCTTCACCCACTGCGGGATAGTGCTGGCCCCAGTGCTCGGCATTTTCATCCAATGCTGCCTTTTTAAAAACTGTTTATTATTTATATCTACTTGGAAGACACTGGTATTCCTGGTTCATTTTCCAAAGGCCCACAGTAGCCAGGATGGGTCCAGGCTGCAGCCAGGAGCACCATGGGGACTCCCAAGAGGGTAGCAGGAGTCCAGGCACACGGGCACCACCTCTTGCCTCCCTGCCAGCAAGCTGCGTGGAAGTGGAGGTGCCAGGCCTCAGCCAGGCACTGTGAGATGGGACGCCGGCAGCCCCAGCTGTGGCCTCCTGCTGTGCGCAGTGCCTGCCCGGTGCTATCTTGCACATGCTGTGTCTGGTGCTAAGGATGCTCACAGAGAATGTTGGCCTCAATCCAGAAAAAGTGAGCCGCGGTGGCTGAGACAGCAGAGGAGGTGGAACAGGAACACATGTTGGGTGTCGGCCCACATGAAGCCGAACACAGTTGCCCCCTGAAGACCTGTGGCGCCTTCTGGACTCGTCAAGGAAGTTTCTGGAGGGTCTTCCTGGTAGCTGGCAGGACACCCCCTGGAAGACGGGCACAGGACGCCGTCACCCCGCACATGGGGCCTGTCTCCAGGCTTCCTGGCGGGCAGCCCCCGGTGCTCGTCGTCTCTAGAATGGTGCTGTTCAACACAGAGCCAAATCTGATGTGCTCAGTACCCACGGTGTGCCTGCCTCCCGCCTGGAATCCCCCGGGAGCCGCCGGGTCATGCAGAAGCCGGCGCTGATGGTGTGTCGCGGGCAGGGGCTCTGACCGCCCTGCGGCTGCTGTCCCGGGTGAGACGCCAGCACGGCTGTTCTCCGAGGCTCGCTTTCCTGCAGAAGGAGGCATTTCTCGTATTAATTCACAACGAAATATGAGGATTTTTTTTTTTTTACTTTTGGTGAAACCATTTTGCATAAATAAAATAGAAGCAGGTCATTAATAATTTACGGAACTTTTCTCCTGCAGCGGACATTGTAATCGAGATGGGAGGTTGTCACAAGCCCAAAGGCGATCTTTATCCTTCAGAAACATGAAGTGATTGTTCAAGGAAGTGTTTCGGTCCTGCGAGGGCTCCGAAGTCCAGGGTGGGATTAGGATGCATTGCGCATATACGAACAAGGAAACTCGCATTAGATACTGGGACAGGCCGTGGTGTTATAGAAGGTTGTTCTGCTGTTTTACTTCACGAGTGGAAATAGCAGAAAGTATTGTGCAGTCTGGATCATGTTACAGAACTGATTTTTAGAGTGGATCAGTAGTGGACGGACGTCTGTGTCCTTGTCTCCCAGCTCTGCCGCAGTTCACCGTGACTCCCGAGGACAGAATCGCCGTCGAGGGGCAGACGGTCGACTTCCAGTGTGAGGCCACGGGCTACCCGCAGCCAGTCATCGCCTGGACCAAGGGAGGTGAGGCGTGGCCCGGGATGGCTCCTGCTGCCAAGAGCTGTGTCGTGGGGCGGAGCGAGAGCCCTGCCTTCTCCCCTCGGTCTCTGTCTTGCCCTCCATCCGCATCTTAGCAAAATCCAGCAGCCTGTGGGACAGGAGTTTCTGGGGACAGTGATGGAAGCCACTGAAACAAGTGGCTTCTACTGTTTCCGGAGTCCCCGTCGGCTTTCCCCCGTGTTCTGGTCTGCCCTGGGCTCCACCTCGCCTCCTGAACCAGGGCCCCATCCCTCCTGCCTCACGGGGACCCCTGAGTGGTCCTGGGGTGGAGGCCTGGCCGTCCCCTGTCCGTGCATTCCCCACGCCCTTGCAGGCGCATGGCCGAGTCTGCTGGGCAGATAGGACCGGCGATGCTGTCCTTGGTGCCCAGAGCCAGGCGCAGAGCAGCCCCAGGAGGCTGTTTGCAGAGTGCCCACCCCCGCCCCAAGTCCTGCCCCGAGCTGCTGACTGACGTGAGCCCCTTGCAGGCAGCCAGCTCTCAGTGGACAGGCGGCACCTGGTCCTGTCGTCGGGGACGCTCCGGATCTCTGGGGTGGCCCTGCACGACCAGGGCCAGTACGAGTGCCAGGCGGTCAACATCATCGGCTCCCAGAAGGTCGTGGCCCACCTGACCGTGCAGCCCAGAGGTACATGTGGACGTGGCCTTGGCGCATCTGTCGCTGCCCAGGAAACCCGGGGCTGCTGACCTCAGGGAGCCGCCCTTGCCCTCGGAGCCTGTGTTCCCAGCGTGGGTGGGCGCCGAGGCCGCCTGTGTCTCTCGACGCCGCTGGAGTTGGGCTCCGTCAGCCAGTTTATTACCCAGTTTTCCTCTAGGGAACTTGTACTTGGGGGCTCTCAGTGCCTTGTACGAGTGGTGGTTTAGGTGGCACGGGGTCTTTGGGCATGGTGCAGAGCCCCTCCCCTACCATGGGCGCGCCCTCTACCCGTCCTCCTGTTGTCCTGGGGGACGTGTCCTTGGGCTGTTCCATCCCCTGGACAGACCCCAGCTGCCTCTCATGTCTTGCGACAGAGTCAGGATAAATTTGAGGCTCGGAGGTCATGAATGTTGGCATGACCGTGGGAGCCCCGGTGGTCCCGGCCACCAGAGGAGGTGGGGGCCTGCAGGAGGGATGCTCATTGAGGACCCCGTGGGGCCATGTGTGGGGCTGAGAGGACTTCCCACCGGTCTCAGCAGACTATAGGTGGCCCAGCCTGGCCTGCGTGCCCCGGGTTTTACGGGTGTGTCCGATGCCCGAGCAGGCAGATGGTGCCCCGCCGCAGACGAGGGTCCCAAAGCCACTGTTCTCTGGGGCTCCTAGAGGCACTGTTCTCTGGGCCTCAGCGAGTCTGCAGCAGGCGTGCTGCCTGCTGGTGTGGGTGGAGGCAGAGGCCTGCCAACAGCCCTGGGCCTGGGGTGGCTCCTTGTGCATCTGCGCTGGCTCGAACCCAGAGTGGGACGTGAGGGGCAGGGCCCGGCCCTGGGTTCTCATCCCCCTGGGGGGGGCCGACCGAGGTGGGCTGACGTGCCAGGGAAGCCTTTTCCTGATGGCCCGCATCTGCCCTGCAGTCACGCCTGTGTTCGCCAGCGTTCCCAGTGACCTCACGGTGGAGGTGGGCACCAACGTGCAGCTGCCATGCAGCTCCCAAGGGGAGCCAGAGCCGGCCATCACCTGGAACAAGGTGAGGTGGGCTGGGCCGGGCGCTCCCCCCGGGGCAGGGCATGGGCAGGGCGTTCCCCTCCAGGGGCAGGGGAGCACACTGGGACCCTCGCCCCGGGGGGAAGCCGGAGCCGGCATCACCTGGAACAAGGTGAGGCGGGCCGGGCAGGGCGCTCCCCCCGGGGCAGGGCAGGGGCAGGGCAGGGGCATGGGCAGGGTGTTCCCCCCAGGGGCAGGGGAGCACACTAGGACCCCTGCCCCGGGGGGAAGCCGGAGCCGGCATCACCTGGAACAAGGTGAGGCGGGCCGGGCAGGGCGCTCCCCCCGGGGCAGGGGCATGGGCAGGGCGCTCCCCCCAGGCAGGGCGCTCCCCCCGGGGCAGGGCATGGGCAGGGTGTTCCCCTCCAGGGGCAGGGGAGCACACTGGGACCCTCGCCCCGGGGGGAAGCCGGAGCCGGCATCACCTGGAACAAGGTGAGGCGGGCCGGGCAGGGCACTCCCCCCGGGGCAGGGGCATGGGCAGGGCGCTCCCCCCAGGGGCAGGGGCATGGGCATGGGCAGGGTGTTCCCCCCAGGGGCAGGGCAGGGGCATGGGCAGGGTGTTCCCCCCAGGGGCAGGGCAGGGGCATGGGCAGGGTGTTCCCCCCAGGGGCAGGGGAGCACACTAGGACCCCTGCCCCGGGGGGAAGCCGGAGCCGGCATCACCTGGAACAAGGTGAGGCGGGCCGGGCAGGGCGCTCCCCCCGGGGCAGGGGCATGGGCAGGGCGCTCCCCCCAGGCAGGGCGCTCCCCCCGGGGCAGGGCATGGGCAGGGCGTTCCCCTCCAGGGGCAGGGGAGCACACTGGGACCCTCGCCCCGGGGGGAAGCCGGAGCCGGCATCACCTGGAACAAGGTGAGGCGGGCCGGGCAGGGTGCTCCCCCCTGGGCAGGGCAGGTGCAGGGGCACACACTAGGACCCCGCCCCGGGCTCTTGCTGCTGTGTGTGTACACACTCCTCTGCCTGCAGCCACAACCTCTGAGCACAGAGTGGGGGCAGCTGTGATTCCATACACACGTGTGTAGGTACACACACGCATGTGGACACACATGGGCCAAACAGTGTGTTGACGTGCAGTGTCCTGGGGACACGGAGCTCTCGGGGGGGCCTGGCCGCGGCCCCTTCTCCGTGGCTGCCGTGGACGTCTGTGCTGGGCTCAGAGGCCTGTTCTTTCAGGGATGTTGCCAAGAGCCAGTCTCTGCTGCCCTCCCCCACACCGTGCACAGCCCATGGGAGTCACGTGTGACACCCCCCCGGGTGTGGTCTGAGTGCGGCCTCGGACGCTGGGTGCCCTCCGCCCCACTTTCTCACCGCCGCCGGTTTTCCTCCAGGATGGGGTCCAGGTGACGGAAAGCGGGAAATTTCACATCAGCCCCGAGGGATTCCTGACCATCAACGACGTGGGGACGGCGGACGCCGGCCGCTACGAGTGCGTGGCCCGCAACACCATCGGCCACGCCTCGGTCAGCATGGTGCTCAGCGTGAGCGGTAAGAGGCTGTGCGGGGTGCGTTCTCGCAGCCGCCTGGCTGAGACTGCTGCCCGCTGTGTGTCCCGCACGGGGCGGCGTGTCCCGGAGCGCTGGTGTCTCCGTAGCCTGGGGAAGGAAGTATTGCACTGAGGTCATGGTCTACTGTGTCCAAGCTGTAGAAAGATCAAGGCTGCTGAAGGAAAAAGACCTCACCTTTGGGCTTTTCAGGGCGAGTGTCGTAGGTGACCTGGGCAGAGCCGACTCCGCAGTGAAGGGCACAGACCGTTTGGGTGATAAACAGCTCCCGCACGAATGCTAAGTGCAACAGGAATGAGGAGAGGCCCCGAGAAGCGGGCAGCTCCAGGGGCCGAGAAGTTGTAGGGGGTGTGGTGTGCATGGTGTGTGTGGTGCAGTGTGCACGTGGTATGGTGAGTACAGTGGGGGGGGTGTATGTGGTATGTGTGGTGTGCTGTGTGGGTGTAGTATGACTGGTGTTGTGTGCAGTGTGGGTGTGGTGTGTGTGTACTATGAATGGATGGTGTTGTGTGTAGGGTGGGGGGTGTGGTATGGTGAGTACAGTGGGGGGGGTGTATGTGGTATGTGTGGTGTGCTGTGTGGGTGTAGTATGACTGGTGTTGTGTGCAGTGTGTGTGTGGTGTGTGTGTACTATGAATGGATGGTGTTGTGTGCAGGGTGGGGGGTGTGGTATGGTGAGGGCAGTGTGTGAGGGGGTTGGGGAGGCACTGAGGGGTCAGGATGGGGAGGAAGCAAACCCTTGGAGAAGTGAGTAGGGTGGGAAGGCTTGGCCTTCCAGAAAGGACACGCACAGATCCCAAGAACAGCCCCAGCTCCTCTGTCCCCTGAGTGGCCTCAGCCATTCACCCTGTAGGCTGTCTCTGTGCTGGAACTGGTTGTCCCTGCCTCGCTGTGGGTACCACGGGGTTGCAGATTGACAAGCACGGAGGTGGGCGTCTGGCACAGCTCTTAGGATGCTGCAGGGGGAGCCCAGCTTCTGCATCCAAGCGCCTGGCCTCTAACCCACTTGTAGTTCCAGTTTTCTGCCGCTGTGCACCTGCCGGCAGCTGGCGTGGTTCAAGTGCTTCAGTCCCTTCCAAGCTCTTGGGAGACACAGACTGAGCACCTGGTTCTTGGCCTTGGCCTGATCCAGACCCAACTGTTGTGGGCATTTCAGGAATGAACCAGCAGATGGAAGATCTGTTTGCCTGCCTGCCTTTCGATGAGTAAAGTTTAAAATTGAAGAATGAATAGTTTTAAGGTTTAAGAAAAGGTAGACGTCTATAACCGCCGTGGTGTCTGAATGCTGCTCCTGGTAGAATTTGGCACAGCCAGCTTTGGTCCCAAGAGTAGAGGAATGTTGGAGAGTGGCGTGGCCGAGGGCGGAAGGATGCCCTGACCACAGCACTCAGAGCGGCCTGTGTCCCTGTGTCCCCAGTTCCCGATGTCAGTCGCAACGGGGACCCCTTCGTGGCTACATCAATCGTGGAAGCCATCGCCACCGTGGACAGAGCCATCAACTCAACCCGCACACACCTGTTTGACAGGTATCGAAGATGCGTGGGCTGCCGTGCTGGGGACCCGGGGAGAGTCCGGGCGGGCACAAAGCTCGGGCCTGTCCGTCTAAAGCAGCAGCTTCGGCCTGACACACGCCCCGGGCCACCTGGCGCGTATTGGGAAGGTGCAGCTCATCCCTGGGTGTTGCTACTGAATGGTTTGCCAAAAGCAAACCGTCTCCTGGTCACTGGCGTAGTTGGTGGCGGTTCCAGATCGGTTTCCTGCCTCGTGACTGAACGCGTGTCCGGCTTTCTCTGGTGGCTTCATTAACGATCTGTTGTTAGTGTCTCGGTTTCTGTCTGTGTCGTCCGTTTTCTTGCCTCCCACTTTGGATGAGTCAGGTATGGAGCATCCTGGGGCGCCAGTGGCTGTAGAGGCGTTAGCTGCCGTGGCTGGGGTTTGGGCGCTGCTGACGTCGCTGCTTGTCTCCCTCCCTGCACGCGGCAGCCGCCCTCGCTCTCCCAACGACCTGCTGGCCCTGTTCCGGTATCCGCGGGACCCCTACACGGTGGAGGCCGCCCGGGCTGGGGAGATATTCGAGCGGACGCTGCAGCTCATCCAGGACCACGTGCAGCACGGCCTGACGGTGGACCTCAATGGGACAAGTAAGGCCCTCCTGGCATCCACAGTGCAGAGGCTCCCCAGCCCTGGGACTCCCAGGAATCTCAGGGTGCGGCAGGTGCACCCCGCCCCCCACAGACGGCATGGCGAAGGACGGGGGGACCCTGCAGGGCCGCCGCTGTGCCCGTTACCACAGTGATCGTTAGTGGCTGTGCACTCGGAGTTGTGCACACACAGGCCGTGTGGGGCGAGAGCCAGCGGCTGCACCTTGGGAGGTGAGAGAGCTTTCCCAGGTGGCCTCAGTGGTATCCCGGTGGCCTCCGTGGGCACAGCTTTTGTCACCAGCGTGAGGCAGAGGAGACACAGGCTCACGGATGGCTACAGTCGTTTCGCGGCCACTGAGCTGCCCCTCGGTGTCCTGGCTCTGCAGCCCCCGCCTCCCCCAGGGATGTTGGAGGTAAAGGCTTAAGGCCGGCCCCGCCCCCTCCTTCAGTCAGGTGCACGGGGCACTGTCTCCCTTTCAGACACGTGGTGCCGTCCACGCTGGCCCTGCGGGAGGAGAGGACAGGGTAGGAGCTGCCCGGTGAGGCTTCTGGCCACTGCCTGCCTGCCTTTCTTGGCTGCCTTAGCGGGTGGCCAGGACCCCAGGCAGAGGCCGTGCCGGAACGCCGTGGTGAGGGCCTTGCTGGGCCCGTGGCGCTGCATGCAGACACACGGGGCTTGGAAGCTTAGAGAGGCAGAAAGGTAAAAGCAGTGTGAGCCACAAGTCAGTCCCACAGGAGAGCAGCAGTCGGCTCTCGGCCAGGCACAGCCCGGGTCTGAGGAGACTGTCCACAGAGGAACATAAAGTCGGCCTCGAGGCCTGGGCCCTGCAGAGCGGCAGGGGTGGTCAGCCAGGCCATGAGCCCAGGTGGTGTGCGGGGCCCTGGCTGGGACGGGGTGCCACCCCCGCAGAGCACGGGGCTTCCCTGTGTCGCAGAGCCCTGGAAGCAGGTTCTGCCTCACCTGTGGGGAGCCCCTCGGGGTTTCCTCTGAAGCCTGGGGGTCTCAGGTGGACTGGGCGGAGGAGGGCCTGCCCTGGGAAGGCTGGGCAGCAGGAGGCGCCGTGGGAGCAGAGCCAGGGCTCGGCTTCCAGGAGGGTCTTGCCAGCGTCTGTGGACGGGGCAGCCCCGTGGATCCAGTGCACGGGGGCCTTACTAACTGTTCAGAGTGAAGCGGAGGGTGCAGGCCCGGGCTGGTGAGCGTGGCCAGCGCCGTCCCAGTGACGCTCGCCTGTTCCAGGTTACCACTACAACGACCTGGTGTCCCCGCAGTACCTGAGCCTCATCGCCAACCTGTCGGGCTGCACCGCCCACCGGCGCATGAACAACTGCTCGGACATGTGCTTCCACCAGAAGTACCGGACCCACGACGGCACCTGCAACAACCTGCAGCACCCCATGTGGGGGGCCTCGCTCACCGCCTTCGAGCGCCTGCTGAAGGCCGTGTACGAGAACGGCTTCAACACCCCGCGGGGCATCGACCCCCAGCGGCTGTACCACGGGCACGCGCTGCCCGCGCCCCGCCTGGTGTCCACCACGCTCATCGGCACGGAGGCCGTCACCCCGGACGCCGAGTTCACGCACATGCTCATGCAGTGGGGCCAGTTCCTGGACCACGACCTGGACTCCACGGTGGTGGCCCTGAGCCAGGCCCGCTTCTCGGACGGGCAGCACTGCAGCTCGGCCTGCAGCAGCGACCCGCCCTGCTTCTCCGTCATGATCCCGCCCAGCGACCCGCGGGCCCGCGGCGGCGCCCGCTGCATGTTCTTCGTGCGCTCCAGCCCCGTGTGCGGCAGCGGGATGACCTCGCTGCTCATGAACTCCGTGTACCCGCGGGAGCAGATCAACCAGCTCACCTCCTACATCGACGCCTCCAACGTGTACGGGAGCTCGGAGCACGAGGCCCGCAGCATCCGGGACCTGGCCAGCCAGCGCGGCCTGCTGCGCCAGGGCATCGTGCAGAGGTCCGGGAAGCCGCTGCTGCCCTTCGCCGCGGGGCCGCCCACGGAGTGCATGCGGGACGAGAACGAGAGCCCCATCCCCTGCTTCCTGGCCGGGGACCACCGCGCCAACGAGCAGCTGGGCCTGACCAGCATGCACACGCTGTGGCTGCGCGAGCACAACCGCGTCGCCACGGAGCTGCTGCGCCTGAACCCGCACTGGGACGGCGACACCGTCTACCACGAGGCGCGCAAGCTCGTGGGGGCCGAGATGCAGCACATCACCTTCCGGCACTGGCTGCCCAAGGTGCTGGGGGAGGTGGGCATGAAGATGCTGGGCGAGTACCGCGGCTACGACCCCAGCGTCAATGCCGGCGTCTTCAACGCGTTCGCCACGGCCGCCTTCAGGTTTGGCCACACGCTCATCAACCCCGTGCTCTACCGGCTGGACGAGAACTTCGCGCCCATCCCGCAGGGCCACCTCCCCCTGCACAAGGCCTTCTTCTCCCCGTTCCGCATCGTCAACGAGGGCGGCATCGACCCGCTGCTCCGCGGGCTGTTCGGCGTGGCCGGGAAGATGCGCGTGCCGTCCCAGCTGCTCAACACGGAGCTCACCGAGCGGCTCTTCTCCATGGCGCACACCGTGGCCCTCGACCTGGCCGCCATCAACATCCAGCGGGGCCGGGACCACGGCATCCCGCCCTACCATGACTACCGGGTCTACTGCAACCTCTCGGCGGCCCACACCTTCGAGGACCTGAAGAACGAGATCAAAAACCCCGAGATCCGGGAGAAGCTTCGAAGGTGAGTCTGGGGGGGCCAGGCCTCCCGACTGGGTGCGTCATGTGTCCGTGTCATGTGTGTGCCTGGCTTCTGGGTTGGGGAGCGTAGATGAGAGACGCCGATGACGGGCAAGCTGGGGCCTGCAGTGCCACAGGGACCAGGACTCGAGGCGCCCGTGGTCCCAGTCACAGCTGCTGGTCTGTAAAGCTCACGCACAGCCCAGCCTCCCGGCCGCAGCGAGTTTGCATCTGCAGGTGCGTGTGTAGGTCTGGGGAGGGTCTTACTGCAGAGAAATTGGCTCTGCACGGGAAAACGCCAGAACCCAGAACGGGGCTCTTTGGGACTTCAGAACAGGCCCTGTGTCAGCCCTGGGTGGCTCGAGGCTGCTCCCTGCTCTGCCCTGTCAGAGTGGACTCTGAGCCCCAGCTGTGGGTCATCCGGGCGCGTAGCTCCCTGGCCTATGGGAACGAAATGCAGGAGACCCTAGGTGGCTGCAGCCCTGGGAGAGGGACTGGGGGCTCAGCCGAGGCCCCCACACCACCCCTGCCAGTCGCACCTGCTCTCTGGGCCGCCGCGTGTCCCTCGCTCTGGGGGCTCTTCCTTCACGGCCCTCGCGCCAGCTTCCTGGAGGACGTACGGTGACTGCGCCCTGGTGTTCTCGGCCGTCCTTGGGTTTCCGAGTGAAGTGCGCAGGTCCCTGGGAGTCGAGATCTGCTGGTTCCGGCGTCAGAGTTGTTCTGGGGAGGGAAGAGCCTCTCCTGCTGCTCCCCACCCGCCTGTTCCTGGGCGGAGGCGCCAGGCTTGGGGTCCGAGCTCGCGTGTCGTTCTGCACACGTCAGGCATAAATGAACACGGACTCCTGGGAAGCCGAGGCGTCCCAGCGTTCACTGGCGTGCGGAGGTGACCAGGCCCTGCCAGGGTCACAGTCCTTCCCCGGGGCTCAGAGTGCCCGCGGTTCTGTCCAGGCGGCACAGACCGCTTTCCCAGCCCTGGGTCTCGTGTCCCAACTGCCCAGCTTGGCACAGGGAAGCCACATTGCTTCCTCCCCTCCCCCACTCCTGCAGGGCGCCACGCTCAGCAGCCACGTGGCCCAGTGACCTCGGCTCCTCTCCTCCCAGCGTCAGTCAGGGCAACGCGTGGGGCAGAGGACAGGTCCCTGCGTCCTCCAGCTGTGGGAGTTCTAGGGCAAGGCGTTCACCTTGGCTTCCTTCTATGGGCTAACACCAGAAGCAGCCCATAAAAAATCCACTCCCACCCTGGGAGATCTGTGTAATGGCCCCATTATGCCCTGCAACACCAGGACTGTAGCAATGAGCTCCAAGTTTCTCAGTGCCACTGGAATCTAGGGAAGAACCTGCCCGCACCCCCCCTCCCTGTGCTCACCCCGTCCTGAGCACCGTCTCCTGTATGCCCGGAGCAGGGTCCAGTCCGCACCCCCTCGTCCTAGGACCGGGGCTGCTGGCCTTATGAACCACAGCTCCAGCGGGATGCTCCTGAAGGACCTGAGGGAGGGCTCATCTGTATCCTAGAGCCCCAGCACCACTCGGGCCCGCCAGGAGGACAAGGGGCCAGCCATCACGGTCTCAGCACCAAGAACAAGGCCCCGGCTGTCAGTCACCAGGGAGATGGACACCAACTCGCTGTGGACAAAAGGCACCCACCTTGGAAACCGTCTTCACCTCAAAGCCACACTGCTGTCCCTGCCAGTGCAGCAGACTACTGTGTCACTGCCACAGCTTACGTCAAGACAAAATAAGTCCCTGCGACCTCACTGCCAGGCTTGCATAGAGCCAGAGCCGCAGCAGCAAGCCACGTGGCACCCGCATTCCTGCTAAACCACAAGCTCTTTTCTAATAAGCCCCACTCCATAAGGACGAGGGGACAGTTACACCAGACATGCAGATGTCAACGTAGGACAGACGGAGAAGCAAGGTAGCAGGACGCCTCCAGGAGAACACAGTGCTCCTCTGGGATTAGAGCCTGCACCAAAGGAACTCTGAAGTGACAGCTGCCGAGTTCAGGACAGCGACGCAAGGAAGCCCAGTGACATGCAAGAGCTGATGCTCAGTGAATGACATCCTGAAGATACCACCGAGGACGCGGCACTCACGGGGAACAAAATGGAGTTGTTGGAGATGAAGTCTTCACTCAGTTCAATAAAGGTACAATTAACATATTTCTAACAGGACAAGACTTTTGAAATAACCTAAGGAATGAAGAAAGTCTATGTGAAATACGGGCTACTATTTTTTTTTTTTTTTTTTTTTTTTTGGACAGGCAGAGTGGATAGTGAGAGAGAGACAGAGAGAAAGGTCTTCCTTTGCCATTGGTTCACCCTCCAATGGCCACCGCGGCCAGCATGCTGCGGCTGGCACACCGCGCTGATCCGAAGGCAGGAGTCAGGTGCTTCTCCTGGTCTCCCATGGGGTGCAGGGCCCAAGCACTTGGGCCATCCTCCACTGCACTCCCTGGCCATAGCAGAGAGCTGGCCTGGAAGAGGGGCAACCGGGACAGAATCCGGCGCCCCCACCGGGACTAGAACCTGGTGTGCCAGCGCCGCTAGGTGGAGGATTAGCCTAGTGAGCCGCGGCGCCGGCCAATACGGGCTACTATTAAATGACCAAGTGTTCATATTAATAAAGGAAAATGCATTGAGAACCTGCTAAATGAAATAATAGTTGAAATTTCCCAGGTATTGAAACTTAAAGAACCCCAAGCAGACTCAGCCAAGAAAGACTTTGTCCAAGGCATGCTGGAGTTAACTGTCAAGGTTAAAGACAAGGAGAGAATCCGAGAGACAGCACGAGAGGAGCATCAAGGTCGTATGAAGGGAAACCTGTCAGATTAGCATCAGACCTCTCGTGGAAACCCTGCAGGCCAGGAGAGACCGGGATGACATAGTGAAGGACCTAAGAGAAAAAACTTCCAAGAATATCATATCTTAAAAGTGAGGCAGGGGCCGGCACTGTAACATAGCAGGTAAAGCTGCCACCTGCAGTGCCAGCATCCCGTATGAGCGCCGGTTTGAGTCCTGGCTGCTCCACTTCCGATCCAGCTCTCTGCTGTGGCCTGGGAAAGCAATAGAAGATGGCCCAAGTCCTTGGGCCCTGGCACCCACGTGGGAGACCAGGAAGAAGCTCCTGGCTTCAGATTGGCACAGCTCTGGCCATTATGGCCATTTAGGGAGTGAACCAGTGGATGGAAGGCCTCTCTTTCTCTGCCTCTCCTTCTCTCTCTGTGTAACTAACTCTTCAAGTAAATAGATAAATTTTTAAAAAGTGAGGCAACAGCTCTCACCACCACCAGACCAGCCTTATAAGAAATTCTGGAAGTAAAAACACATGAGACCACCAAATCCACTAACAGCAGGTAGAGTCGTTATTCAGTCAACAAAATGACAAGGGTTAGGTCTTGTCTATCAATAGTAACCTTGCATGTAGATGGATTAAATTATCCAACCAAAAGACTTAGTTTGGCTGAAATGAGAGAAGAAAAAAAAAAAAAAAACACATTCCCACCATATGCTGCCTAAAAGGAACTCACTTCCCAAAGATACACAGACTGAAAGTGAAAACCTGGAAAAAGATAAACCAGGCAAACAAAACCAAAAATGGACAGGAGACACTGTCCTGATAGCAAGTAAAACAGACTTAAAAGCTGTAAACACACGTAAAGAACGACTCCAATGCAATAGGGGTGACTCAGAGCCTCACTGCCATCAATGCTCAAGGTGTTCTTGCTCATGGCTAGGGAGATCAATTTCATTAAAACATCTGTACTACCTAAAGCAATCTACAGATACAATGCAATACCTATCAAACTGCCAATGCTGTTCCTTAGGTTCCTTACAGGACTAGAAAAACAAGCCTAGATTCATGTGAAGTCACAAAAGACCCCAAGTAGCCAAAGTGATCCTGAGCAAGAAAAATCAAGCTGGAAGCATCACATTCCCTGACTTCAAAGCATATTACAGCACTATAGTAATCAAAACAGCATGGCACTGGCATAAAAATTGATACATAGATCAAACAGAACAGAGAGCCCAGAAATTAAGCCACATGCACACACCAACTAATTTTTGACAAAGTGCTCAGACCTCAACAGGTGCTGCTGGGAAATACACACACACACACACACACACACACACACACACCTATACCTATGTCTGTGAGTGATACTAGAGCCATACCTATCACCGTATACAAAATCAACTCAGGATGGATCGAAGACCTGAATTTGAGACCCGAGACTGTGAAGTTGCTGGAAGAAAACGTAGGGGAAACTCCAAATCACTGGCGCAGGGAACAACCTGGACAAGACCTGCAAAGCACAGGCATCCAAGTAAAGCTAAACGAATGAGAATGTGTCAGACTCAGACGCTTTTGCGCAGCAAGAGAAATGATCAGTGGAGTGAAGAGACATCCACCAGAATGGGAAAAAATTGCAAACCCCCTGAGGATTAACATCCCAAATATATCAATAACAAATTCAACAACAACAACAACAAAACAACCAATCCAGTTAAATGGGCAAGGGAACTCAACAGTTTTAAGAAATGCAAATGGCGTTTAAGAAATGCAAATTAAGAAAAAAAATGCTCAACATCACTAGTCCTCAGGGAACCATAAATCAAACCACAAGGAGGTATCACCTCACCCCTGTCAGAAAGGCCACAGTCCAAAACACAGAGTAACAAACGCAGGCGAGGATGTGGGAAAAGGGGACTCTCACACCACCGGTGGGAGGGTAAATGTTGCAGCCCCTGTGGGAGGCTGTGAAAATCTCTTAGACTGGAAATAGACCGGCCACGTGATCCCGCCGTCCACGACTGGGTGTGTCCGGAAAGGCTTGAACACAGTGTGTCGGATACCTGCTCCACCACGTTCACAGCAGATGGGTCACAAGAGCCAGCATTTGGAATCAACCAAAGTGTCCATCATCAGATGAATGGATAATGCGGTATGGACACACAATGCAATGTTACTCCTCTAGAAAATGGACACAACGGGAAGATATCATGTTGAGTGAAATGCACTGGATCCAGGAAGACAAAAAGAAATATGTGTGTGTCAGTAGTGCTGCAGACGGTTTCGTAGAAGTTTCACACCATTGTCAAACCAGCAGTCAAGAATGTTAGTCCCCTGTAGCTTTAATGATCTGTCATTACAGTTTACTCTATGTGGGCAAATTGGTCACTTTTCCATTCAGTTATTGTTTACAGCCACCGTCTATATTCCCACTAAACTAGGTCTTCTGCTCTTCAGTTGTTTTTATTCGAGTAAGAAGTGAGCTTTTCACTGTAACGTAAATTTGAAGTGTGTTATCTCAAGTACTAACCAGAGAGAAAGCGGGAAGAAAGCAGGCTGGGGAGGAGGGAGGGATACCCTTACGTTTTTAGAATCGTATCTGCAAAGGCTGTGGAATGTGTTAAAAGGTAATTAAAACAAAACAGCTCAGAGAAGCCCCTTATACACGCACACAGAGCCCACAGCGGCCTGGGCCCCTCCTCAGCTGCAGAGGAAGAGGTGTGAGTTGTGGGCAGTGGGCACCCGGTCGCACCTGCTTTGCTGTGGCACCACACTGAGCTCTGAGCACCTCCGGGTGGTGGGCAGGGGAGGAGCCCAGGTGCTTCTCCCCGCTGTGTCCCTGGATGGCCTCAAGGTCCCTGTGAGAGAAGCACCCTGGGGCTGTGTGGAGGCTCCATCCTCAAGAGGCCTAAAGAACCAGCTGGTTCCAGACCCGAGGCCCATGGGTGGAGCATCCTCCCCAGGGACAGAAACAGGCAGATACGCCCTGAGCAGGGGGTCTGCTCTAGCAAAGGCCACATAGGAGCTCTGTAAACCCCCCCGCACCCTGCCCAGCAGGGACCAGACCATCCCTGTAGGAGCTATAATGACCCCACTGTGCACCGTCCAGCACAGTGCAGATGGCCCCATGGGGGCTCCAATGACCCCACCGTGCACCGTCTGGCACAACCCAGATGGCCCCGTGGGGGCTCCAATGACCCCACCGTGCACCATCTGGCACAGCCCAGATGGCCCCATGGGAGCTCTGGTGACCCTGCTGTGCACCTGCCCAGCAGGAACCAGACAGCCCCAGATTCCTCTGCTCAGGCCGACCTCCCAGTGACCTCCCAGAACCAGAAGTTTGGTGTGAATGCCACTGAACTTGGGAGAAAATGGGGCTTTGTCCCCCTCTGACAGAGCATTGTCCCTGTGCATGCACCCCTGACCCTGCCCGCCGTGTCTGTCCTGTCCTGGTGACAGCGGTCAGTCCAACATGGCTCGTTTGAGCTCAGGGGACAGGCAGCTGGAATTGTAGAACATGCATGGAACATACGTGCTTCTGAAATCCAGCTGGGCGTGAGTGGCTGTCGGCCAGTAGGCTTCCCTGGGTTTGGTGAAAGATTGGACACAAGTTGGTGGAAGCGGCCAGTTCCTTGATTGTAAGCATGTGTTTCTAAGGAAATGGAAGGATTGGATGAAAGTATTTGTTATTAAACATGTAACTTTGTCTTAGTCTCTTGCCTTATCTGTGCTTAACAAGCATTTTCATTATTGCAAAAAAGTTTGATGTGCAGACTGCAGCCTTGCCTAGCTACTCAGGTTTACAGAAGAAATGGCCAGAAGGGGCCACGCGGGGGTTTTTCTGTTTACCCCGTGCTCAGCAGGGATGCTGCGCCTTGGGGTCCCCTGGCAGTTTTAACTTCCTGACCGAGTGTGTGTGTGTCTTTCAAGTGCGGTGGCTAAATGCTTCCCAGGATAAAGGTGAATTTCCCTTGCTAAGCACAGTTAGAGGATGTAGACCCGGGCCACGGACCACGAGGCCGTTGGGAGAACCGAAGTTTGCCCTCACGTTTGCAGGCTCTACGGCTCCCCCCTCAACATCGACCTCTTCCCAGCCCTCATGGTGGAAGACTTGGTTCCTGGCAGCCGCCTGGGGCCCACCCTGATGTGCCTGCTCAGCACCCAGTTCAAGCGGCTGCGAGACGGCGACAGGTAACCCCAGAGCCCTGGGGCACTGGTGGAGGCGGCTGGGAGGCTGGCCTGCTCCTGCCCCGCACCCTGCCGGGCCCATGGCCAGTTGTTTCGTGTTCAGCATAAGATGTGGGCGGGGTCCGTCCTGCCTGCTGCCCAGACCACCCCCGCTGGGACGGTTTCTTTTTCAGATGCGTTCAGTTACCTTGATTTGAAAGGCAGAGAACCAGAGCGGGGAGGGGGCCTGGGGAGGATGTGGAAAGAGGTCTCGTCCGTCTGCTGTGTCACTGCCCGAATGCCCGCGACAGCCAGGAGCCCAGAGCTCCACCCAGGTCTCGCGGATGTACGGGCAGGAACGGCACCTGCCGCCTCCCAGGTGTGCACTGGCTGCGTGGGAATCAGAGCTGGGACTTGAACCCAGGGGCTCGGATACTGGACATGGGCACCGCGAGCCGTGGCCCAGCCAGCCGCCTGCCCTCGGGTCAGCAGTCAGGACGTGTTGCCGTGCCCGCCAGGCAGGCGGGTGCCCCCCCTTCGTGCCACATTCTGGGCTCTGGGTTCTGCCGGTTGAGAGGGAAACACGAGTCACGTCCAGGTCCATTTTCAGTTGGTGCTGACAAAGCCCTTGGGACCTGTGCTGCTGGCCGGGGTCCCCGCCGCCCCGACCTGACCCTGCCCTTGTGCTGTGGCTGCAGGCTGTGGTACGAAAACCCAGGGGTGCTGACCCCTGCCCAGCTGACGCAGGTGAAGCAGACGTCCCTGGCCAGGATCCTGTGCGACAACTCCGACAACATCACTCGCGTGCAGACGGACGTGTTCCGGGTGGCGGAGTTCCCGCACGGCTACACCAGCTGCGAGGACATCCCCAAGGTGGACCTCCGGGTGTGGCAGGACTGCTGTGAAGGTAGGCGTGGCTCCGCAAAGCCCTCTGCTCATCACCCCTGCCCAGTGCACGAGATGCTTCGTCTCCAGGGACTTGGGACCGCCCGGTGACCGGTCTGCGGCTCCTCGCTGGGCCAGGCCCAGTGTGGCCACTCAGAGCCCTCGAGGGAATGCCGTCTGCGGTCACCGCTTTGTTCTTCCCTCCGTGGGGTTCCTGCCCAGAGGCCCGAGACCTGCCAGTCAGTGCCAGGTCCTCCAGGGCACCGCCAGGAGTCCTCACAGCTGGCATCGTGGTGCCGTGGGAGCTGCCGTGGGAGTCGCCGACCGCTCCCACGGCCTCCATGCTCTGCTTGCAGACTGCAGGACCAGGGGCCAGTTCAACGCGTTCTCCTATCACTTCCGCGGCCGCCGGGCCCTGGACTTCAGCTACCAGGACGACGAGCCTTCACCGAGAGCCAGGCCACGGGGGACCCGCAGGTATGAGGGTGGAGGCTGGGCACAGCGCCGGGGAGGGGCTGTGCCTCTGGTCCCTTCACCGGGCAGGAGCCTCCCAGGGTTGCAGCCCACGTCCCACTCAGCCGCCGGTTCAGCTGTGGCCCCTGTGTACACGTGCATCTGTCCCTGGGGAGGGGACACGGGGGTGACCTCATCGCCCCCTACTGAAATGACCGCTCATCCCTTCCTCTGCCTCTGGTCCACAGTGTGAAACATGGCCAGCGCCATGGCAACACCACGTCCGCCTCCTACGAGCACACCAAGGGACTGGGGACGAACGACTTCAAAGAATTTGTCCTGGAAATACAGAAGACCATCACAGGCCTCAGGAACCAGGTACTGGCCGCCTGCCAGCCCTGGGGGCGTCCTCAGCACGCCCCTGCCTGTGCCGTTCACGGGTGGTGCCCACCCTCAGCTTGGTCTGCACTGGGCCCAGGGAGCCGTGGGCTGTGGGAAGTTGCTGGAGGGGACTTGGACAGCACAGCGTGGGCTGGGGCAGGCAGCATGGACACTAGGCCTGTTCCTCAGGCCCCTCTCTGGGAGATTCCAGGCTTCTCAGGGGGATGTCCAGGGTCGGGGCTCCCCATACATGGCTGGAGCCCTCAGAGTATGAGAAGGGCCTGAGGTCTGCCAGAGACTTCGGTCATCCGCCCGGACAGGCCAAGGGGAGGTGCAGCTGCTCCTCCTGTCCAGAGAGCAGGCAGTTTGCCCAGGCAGCATCAGAGAGGACAGTGCGGCCACACCTTGCTCACCTGTGCATGGCCCTGGGGCAGAAAGCAGCAGACAGTGACGGGCGGGTGAGGGGCCTGTGTGCCCTTGGTTGGTCAGGGAGTGGGATGGGCAGTAGGGGTACAGGACGATGCTGGTGCCTACCCTGGCATCAGGGAGTCACCCTGGGCACCCAGCCAGCCGTCCACCCATGTCCATGGTTCTGCCTACCGCAGGGTGACCAGCAGGGCTGCCCCAGCGTTGGGGGTGACTGAGTGGGGCGTGATTTAGTGGGGGCTCCCAGGATGACTTCCACAGCAGTCGGCCTCACCTCAGTTGTGCACAGCCCTGCTCACTCCTTGTTGTCCCAGGATGCCCTTTGGCCTGCAGAGGCGCGTCTGTATCCCCAGGGGCCCCTGGGAAGGACAGGCCTGGTGGCCGAGGTTTCAGGAGCGCCCCCCCCCCGGCGACGTGGGGAAGCGAGTAAGGGTCACACTACAGAGCCGAGCGGGCCGTGCGTGCGGGAGGGGTGGCTTTTCCCCAAGCCCGCACTGAGCAGCTGTCGGCGTCCATCCTAGGTGGCTGCTCTCGGGGGTGGGCAGGGGTCAGCGCAGGTGCAGAGGAGGCAGGTCTGATGCCTGGCGAGGCCCTCACTGTCCCCCACAGCTCAGAGGGGGTTCCGAGAGGAGCTGGGGTGGCTGGCGGAGGTCCATCCATCCCTCACGGAGGTGGACAGGAAACCCTGGAGGTGTGAGGTCACCCATCCTCGGCAGTCCAGAGCGGCCCTGCACAGCGCAGGCCCAGGCCGCCTCTTCCTTAGCCCCATGCTGTGGGGCCGCTGCCTCTAAGGCCACTTCCTGCCCACAGAATTCCAGCCCTGTTGCCTTGGCTGCAGCCCACTCCCCCCACCCCCAGGACGCAGGGTTGGAGCAGGCCCTGCCCCTGGGCCACCGTCCCTCACGCCCCACGAGTCACCACAGCCGGCCGCCGGGGAGGCTGCGGACCAGGGGCGTTGTCGGGAACTCTGCTGGTGGACAAAGACCAGGGGTTCATGGACGGGAAGCGAGGCCAGCCCCACGGCGGCGGAATCGCTCACGCCTTGGCATCCGCGTGCCTCGGACCAACTCCGTCCGCTTTGTCTCTGGGTCTTGGGGAGTGCTGGTTTCATCTTTGAACTGCCGACTGTACTTTGCCTGCTTCTGACTCGGCACCACAGGAGCCAACCTGTGCAGGAGCCGCGGCCACCTGATCAGTGCGTTCGAGGTTCATCTACAGGCTCTAAAGTTGGAAACGCTGTGCACTGAGGCCTGAGTTCAAGAGAAGAAGTCGTCCGTGCAGAGGCTAACGGTCACTCCACGGCCACTGAGGACTCTCGTGTGCTTTGCTGCAGATAAAGAAGCTTGAGTCGCGGCTCAGCGCCACAGAGTGCGTGGACACCCACGGCGAATCTCACACCAACGGCGCCAAGTGGAACAAAGACGCGTGCACCGCGTGCGAGTGCAGAGTGAGTACAGGGCCGGCCCACACCCCGCGCTGCTCCTGGGAACCGAGAGCTGCCTGCGCTCGGGTTAGGGCTGGTGCTGGCCTCTGCTCCGCCCATGGGAGCGCCAGGCGAGGTCCCTGTCACCCCCCGCAGCCTGCCCGTGCCAGCTGCACACACAGGGTAGCCAGCCCTGCAAGGCTGACTGGCCGGCAGCTCCTGCCACAGCTCCCTGTGTCGCCCAGCAACGGGGCTCAGGCCCATGTCCTGCTGCTCGCACAGGCTGGTGGGAAGCTTGGGGGAGGACTGGATGGGGGTCTGTGTGCACATTGGGTGCCAGCTAGGGGCCTTTCCCTGTGCTGAGGGCGTCTGGGGAGGGCACTTGCGCCTCCCGGGCCTGGCTTGGGCTGCACAGTGGGAGAGACCTGTGTCCCCGCCCCTTCCCTCTAATCTCGTCTGTCCTTCTTCCCATGGGAACTGGGGCAAGGCCTGGAGGGACGTGTGCCTCTGGACGAAGGGCACGGGGCCTTAGCACAGGTCCATCTGCAGCTGTCAGTCAGCAGAGACGCACTGCCTGTCACAAGCCCTGAGCCCGGCCTGGAAGTCGCAGCAAGGCAGGGGGTCCTGACAAGGGTGGTGTCATGCTGAGCCCAGCCTACCCCAGGGGGTAACGGCTGCCACCGTCTCTCCTCCCCAGGACGGGCAGGTGACCTGCTTCGTGGAAGCTTGCCCACCTGCCACCTGTGCAGCGCCTGTGAAAGTCAAAGACGCGTGTTGCCCGGTCTGCTCGGAGCAGACAGCCAAGGACGGGCCCTAGGCTCCGTCTGGGCTCCGCAGCTGGGCAGGGAGCTGCAGCCCCATGGAGCCATCCAGAACTCGACATTTCATGAGGACATCCGGCTGGTGCTGCTTTGGAGAGCCATGAGGGAGCGTGGGCCCATCGTGCACGGAGGTGGGCGCAGCACACCAGCAGGGGGCAGGAGGCAGGCACGTGCCCTCGCACGTGGCCGGTTTCTCAGGTTCTTATTTAATTCTTTTAAAAGGAAAAATTGGTGCTACTATTAAATTGCACAGTTAAGTCGTTTAGGCTCCTAAATTGGTTTTTGCCTGCCGACACCATTTCTTTTTAAACGAAGCGGGGTGGCCCCGGGGGTCAGCTGTGCCTGGCTCTGAGGCCACAGGTCCACAGAAATCTGGGCTGCACCACACGCCATGCCTAAAAGGAAAGCTGGTGTCTGGCAAACGGGACACAGTCTGTGATGAGCGGCGGCCTCCACGGCCACCCAGCTCCCGGCCCCTCCCTGCTACCGGACCTCTCTCCCTCCTGCGTCAGCATTCGGTCATCGGGCGGCCCCTTGCACACCTGCTCCTAACCTTACTAAGCCACACCCGGACACAATGGCTGTGACCCAGATGGGAGCCCTTTGCCGCATTCCATCTGCCCACACCTACGGAGCAGCCGTCCACCGCGGAGCTAGGGCGGCTCCCCGGCTCCTTGTGACGGAGGCGTCTGAACGTTGGGACCTGCCGCTGTGTGGGTGTTTAAAACGACAAATCCCTGGACCTCAACTGTGTTTCTTAAACGCACGATGCACCTGTTGTTTAGGGTCAGATACAGCAGAAACCTCACTTCTATGCAAAGTAGTGTTAGAATTCGGGGTAGAGCGGCTGTCGGACCTCACGTCTCATCCGCTTGACCCAGAGCTTCCATTTTGTCCTAAATACAGTTGTGTTCAGAGAAAAGGCCCCTGGACACACACCTTCCATTCCACACTGTTTACCCAAGCGCTGCTCTTGTGTGCACGGCCCTGTACAGCCGTCAGCACCCGCCAGAGCTGATGGGGCCCAGCCAGGCAGATGTCTGGAATTGGTGGTGCACAGGGTCCGTGTCCTCTCCACGGGAGGCCCCGAGCCTTCATGCACGAGACTGCCAAGGTGTAGGCCAAGTGCCAGCCGGGAGAATGCCCACAATGGGGTTGTAGGATTTCACATACAGAATCCGTCATCTTGCTTCACGTCTTCCCATTACTAAGTGGCAATCAAAGCTGGCTGGGGTTTCATGTTACCTGGGGATCCTTTTGATGTATCTGTACAGATGTAGCCATCAGGCCTTGGAACAGGTTTCTGAAACCAAGGGGTTTGGCAGCAGTGTAGGCTGCTCAGGCATACACATGGCAGCCGGTTCTGTATCCTGGGGGTGTGCCATGGTCTTGTCTTGGAGGCATCGTGTACGTGGCACAGGGCATGGCACATCAGCACCTGTCAGGGGAGCCGACTGGGATCTGCAGTCAAGTCCTGCCAATCAAACCAAAACGTCCCTGGTGTCACCAGTCCGATGTCGGTCTGTGATAGCGACACAGCAGGCACGGCCTGAACAGACTGTCCCTGTAGCCGCCAAGTGAGGCTCGCTGGAACAGGAGGTGTATATATATTGGTTTACTTTCCTATCTGTTGCTGATGCCTTTTTTACGTTCATTGTATGCAGTACCTTACCAAAGAGATGTTTGCACTGTGTAGCAGCGCCCTTCAGTTCAAATAAACGGGCTGCGTTTTCAAGCCGAGAGTGTCTTCCTTCTTCCACTGCAAACCAGGGGCAGGCTCGGTGCGTGCCGAGAGGCAGCAGGGCCTAGGGGGAAGCCCCGGAGCTGCACCAGCCACTCCCAGGCAGAAAACCACAGAAGGGTACTGGTTACACAGCCTCTCCTGGAGCAGCTGGGATGCTCCAGGTGCCAACAGCCTCTCAGCCAGGGCTGGGGTGTGGGCTCTGGGCTGGGGAGAACCAGGGTGGGGGTCATAGGGAGCCCACTGCCCCCACTCCTTGGAATCCTGAGGTGGCCTCAGCCATGCCCCAGTCAGATGGGAGGGGTGCAGGGCGCCTGCGGCACACAGGTGTTGTCAAGGGAGGGGCGCCCCCTGGAGCCAGGGACAGGAGCATCCTCCCAGACCTGTGCTGAGTACGGCTCTGTGGCCAGCGTTGTGACTGCAGGTGGTAGCGTCTGCCCCCAGGAGCCATCTGGGTTGCGAGAGGGTCCTGCTTCTGTGGGAGGTGAGAGGGAGCTTGAGGGTCTTTGCAGGGCCTAGGAAAAATAATTGCTGCTCATGTACGACAATGGACTGTTAGGACACAAAATACTCTTAAAATCGTCCAATCACTTCAAGGTTTGGGTGGGAGCTCCGGGGTGCTTCCAGGACCTGACCTGGAGGAGGCCAAGTGGCCTTGGTCTCCCGGGAGGAGTTTAGCTGTTAGACCCTCGGAGTGAGGATGCTAACACATCGAGAGGCACACCCCAAAGACTCAGAGTCCAGACCAGCTGATGCAAAAAGCAAGAGGATTTATTAGGCGTCTGCACAGAAGGGCCTCCTGAACTCGGGAGTCCAGAGAGCGCCCCCAGCACAGAGCCACACGGTTTATATACCCGCAGCGACCAATCAAAAGCACTATAGTGTCCATGCACACAGCAGTCCAATCCGTGAGCTGATCATGTGAAGGGCATGCATCTTCTATCCAATCAGCTATGGGAGGCCATGCACACAGCAGTCCAATCCGTGAGCTGATCATGTGAAAGGCATGTGTCTTCTATCCAATCAGCTACGGGATCACATGGGAGGCCATGCACCTCGTCGCCATTTTGTTGTTTACTTCTTCAGCAGTTCCTTCCCCTGTCAGCGTCATCTTGTTCACCCTGAGGAGGACGACGTCTCACTCCCTTCGTTCCCCTGGAGGGAGAGCAGCGTCCCGCATCCCACACCGTTATCTGAGTATTAGGAGGCATACAAACTGGGTTAGGTCTTAGCACAGCCAGGCGCAAGTGTCGCAGCTAGCTAAGCATAGGGTCCCTTATTTTTAATTTTAGCTTTGGGGGAAAAAGTTTAGGGCTATAATTTTTAAACGTTAATTTTATTTGGGGCAAAGGTGACTTCTTGTTTAATAGTGTTAGCTTCAGTCACTCCATCTTGGTTTGATTTTTAAGGTTCTTCAAGCTCCCTCGGGGCAGCAGCCTGAAGCCAGCTCTCCCTGCTGTCAGCGAGAGCTGGCATGCTGATGTTTCTGTGTGGCGAGAACAGAACCCTCTGCTTAATGCCGGGCTTGTCAAGAGTGTGAGGAGCTGTGGTTTGGAGGGCTCTGGCCAGGGCAGACACGAAAGGGCATGTTGGCCCCGAGGCCACAGGAGGCTGGCCAGGCTGTGGGCTTGGTTTAATGTCCTCCAGCCAGTTCCCGCCCTCTTGGTTCCCCCAGTATTGGGCTGACGCCTTGCTGCACCAGGTGTTCATGGGAAGATCCAGTTTCCCCCATGATACGGTGACGCGCACACTCCATCCTGAGGTGGTGACAGCTCGCATGTTAGAATTTACAAAGTTCTACAAACTCCAGAAGGGCCTGTTTCTGTGTTTGTGGGATCTGCTTAAAATCCCTCCTCTCTGACGGAGGCCTGGTCCCCACAACAGGATCCCAGCAGGAGGAAGCGGGTGAAGAGCCAGCCCTGCCCCAGGCCCCTTTCCGGTCCCGTCTGGAAAGTCTCTTATCCAAGTCACCTTGAAGTCACCTTTCCCACTTAGTCCTGGAAGTCAGCCTAGGAGTCGGGCAGGTATCACCAGAGACCACACTGGTCAGGATCGAGTTGCCGATACTGGCTGCGCTTGGTTACCACCGAGGGGAGGGATATTTTCTTCCTTGGCTGCTGGCAGTGGCTGTTCACACGGGAACTGGAAACTGCGTGCTTTTCTCCTCCAGAGGCGTGGGGAGCCTTCTGCTTCCATTACGTCCCCTTGTCCAGGGTCTAGCAACATCTTTAGTACCGTGGTCCTTTTAACGTTCGCTGTTTTACCAAAAGCAGATGTCCCTGACGGCCATCCGTCTGCTGTGTACAGCCCAAGTTAAATCGCTGCATGATGTCTCGGCCGCATGTTTTCTTGTTCCCCCGCAGCCGCCAGGCGCGCGGGCCGGTGTTCTTGTGTTGTCGTCGCTGAACAGAAGCAGCCAGACACACACTGCCCTGCCGGACAGCCGCCCGCAGCTGCCGTCCGAGGCAGTTCCTGGAAAACGTGGTTTATGTTCTCTCAATTACTGCACCACAAATTAACTCAGAGTGGCCGCTGGCCGTCATCTCGTCCAGCCGTGACTCAGCGCAGGAAGCGGGGAGAGGACGAGGACGTCCTGGCTGCCCCCGAGGCCCACGCTTCCCCCGTGCAGCCAGGGCAAAAGCGTGCGACGGGGGTCTGAGCACTCGAATGAGGACTGGGATCCACAGCCTCTGCCGAGTCACGTGGCCTTCCCTGTGGCTTTTTGTCCTCTGCAGTTCAGAGGCGCTGACTCCACCTCCCGCGTGAGTGTGCTGCACAGACCAGGAGTTACTCTCTTTCCTGTCACTGGTGCGCAGCCTTTCTCCTGGACAGCTCTGGCTTACGGACCCCTCCCCCTAGTCCCCAGATTAGCCCTGAAAAAAGGCCCCGGTTCTCACGTACACAGGGAAGGGACGCTGGGTCCCATGCCTGCTGCGTTCCCTGCCCCAGGTTAAGGCCATGAAGCAGACTGAAACGCCCCCATCTGACCCAGAACATCTTGAAATTCAACCGCAGCGGCCAGGATCCCGAGTCCCGTCCCGCAGAGGCCAAGAATGTGTTTTGAGAGCGCGCACCTGGTCCCACACCGGCTCTCCAGGTTCCGGCCCATTGCGCTCCCCCCGGCCTGTCCCCAACAGTCCCTTCCTTCCTGGGGCTGGATTCCTGGCCTTGCCAGACACACCCTTCCTGCTTTTGTGTCTGCGCTCGCTCCACCTGTCTCCTCTCCTTATCCTGCGTCCCTGCGTCCCCGCTGCCACTCACCGCCTGTTTGCAGAGGCTGGAGGCTCGTCTGGGCACGTGTCCAGTGCAGGCTCCAGGCCCTGCTGCTCCCGCCCATGAGCCGCTGGTACCTTCCCTGCAGTTGAGCTCCTCCAGGCCAGGCCCGTCTCGCCTCTGCGAGTCTTAGCTTATTTAAAGCTCTCCTGAATCTGACCTCGTAATCCCTGTCAATGGCTTCACCAGTTTTTATGGGTGAAATCTGTACTCATGGACTTCCGGATCACTTACATGCAGGGCCGCAGGGCTCCACCCCTCGCACCATGTCCCTGGCACGTTGTACACTGGCACGTGAAAGGAACAGTCCATGCTGTCAGGGGCCTGTGGGCCACGTGGTTTTGCTGTCCATCAGGTTAATGGGGGAAACCAGCCTCTGGCTGCAGCCTGGACACTGAGTGGGTGTGGCCTGGACACTGAGTGGGTGTGGCCTGGGCACACACTGGAATCCGTGTGGCCTGGATGCCCGCTAGGTGTGGACGATTCAGTGGATGTGGAACGGGTGCTGGCCGCGGTTGCACCAGATACTGAATGGTATGGACTGGCTGTGGACAGGATGCTGACTGGGTCTGTCCTGGACTCTGACTCCTAAGAGTGGACAGCAGGTGGGCGTGCACTGGGTGCTGACTGGGTGTTCAGTGTACGTGGGGTGTAGAAAGGATACCGACTGGGCGTGCACTGGATGCTGAAGGGCACGGGGTATAGACTAGGAACTGAACGGGCATGCACCGGAAACTGAGGGAATGTGGACTGGTTGCCAACTGGCTATGGACTAGAAGCTGGGTGTGAGCTGGATGCTAAGGGTCAGATACTGGATACTGGGTATGGATTCGTTGCCGAGTTGGACACAGACAGGTTGTGGACTGGCTGCAGATTGGGTGTGCACTGGAGGCTAAGTGTAGACTGGAAAGTGAATCAGTATACACTGTATGCTGGTGAGTACGCAGTAGACACCCAGGGTGCAGACTGGATACAGAGTGTGTACTGGACGCTGAGTGGGTGTGGACCGGACTCTGACTAGGTCTGGCTAGTAACTGCATGCGGACTGGATACTCACTGTGTGTGGATGAAATGCTGACCAGCTGCTGACTGAGTGTGCACCGGTGAGGACGGGATGCTGTGTGGGCTGGAAGCTGAATGTGTGTGCACTGGGTGTGGAGCCAGTGTTGATGGGGTGTGGTCTGTAAACTGGGTATCGTGTATACTGAGTGGGGCAACCTGGATACTGGATGGTCCAGAGGCTGACGGGATGTTCCATTGATGCTGAGTGTTTGTGCACTGGATTTTGATTAGGTATGGATTAGTTACTGAGTGCATGCGCAGTAGATACTGATTGGGGGTAGATGAAATACCGACTGGACGTGGGCTGGATGCTGAATTGGTGTGGACTAGATGCTGACTGGATGTGTTGAGATGCTGAATTTTTTGCACAGGATGCTGACTGCGTGTGCACAGGCTGTTGACTGAATGTAGAGCTGATGCCGACTGCTTGTAGACTGTACACTGTCTGGGTATGGACTGTATGCTGACAGCACGTGTACTAGGTTGTGTCTAGGTATGTATCACCTAGTAGACATGGACTGCATACTGACTGGGCGTGGACTGGCCTTTGGCTGAGTGAGGCCTGGAGACAGACCGAGAGTGGCCCAGATCCTGTTTATGACACATACACTGCTTGTAGACTGGAAGCTGAGTGGGCATGCACTGGATGCTAACTGTGT